CCTCCACCCTGCCCCCCCTCCCCTCCTGAATCTGTTTCTCGCTCTGGAGCCGTCTTTTCGCTGATGTAAACAGTCTTAACTGACCGCCTTGATTAAGTGTCTGACTAATTATCTGCGTGTCTGGGAATGGGTGCATGTCTGTTGTATGTGTCAGCATGTCTGTTGTGTGTGTCATACACACACACGGATTCATGTCTCCCTGCGTACATACATACGTACGTGCATGTATACACACGTATATACAGCCTCCTTTTTTCGCATGTATGATGAGGCATCAGGTGAATGAATGTATGATGATGATTGCATACATTCATTCATCCTTTCTTGCCATCCATCCATCCATCCCATCCGTCGATCGACTCCACACTCGAGTACAGATCTACTCTGAGATGTGTACCTTCCCCTTCACCTCTACATGTCTACACGTGTCCATGTGTCCATGTCGTGGCGGCTCCCAATGCTCGCTGAGTTTTGTCTCTGTTTGGGCGTGAGTGTCTCTGTGCCAGTTTTATGCTGGGCCAGGCAGTGAGACTGGAAGCTTGCTGCCACATTTTCTGACGAGTGGCATTGAATGTTTGTCTGAAACGTCTAGATCTGCCCCTTTTTTCTGGCAGTCATGGACACATGCATTGCACGTTGCAATCCCTCAGGACACGGAACAGAAAACAATCCATCCCGAAGAAACTCGCTGACTCGCGATCGGGACCCGGTGTAAATCTTTGCGGGGGCGTTCAACAAGTTCTCCCTTCCGGAAGGGCAATCATGAGCGACGCGAATCTTCCAGACTATCGGAAGGCTGCTGGATCAGTCATCATCCAAGTGTCCCACACCGTCCATCTGCCCTTTTCTTCTGCCGCCGGGGATGTCTCGCCGTCTCTGCGCGTTCGGTTGGGGATGCTCCAGAAGGAGTTCAAGAGCATCGACAAGGCGAAGGCGGTGGAGTTTCCCATGACCGAGGCAGAATGGAAGGAGGGCGTCGTGCTGATTGACATCATTGGGGAGGGAAAACGGCATCTTGGCGTATGCGTTCCGTGTCGAGAGCTCAGGACGTTCCAAGATCAAGCAGTGTGAGAGAGAGAGAGAGGAGGGACAACTACAAAGACATGGACATATATGATTGTCTTCAGGTGGTTGGCTCTCGCACCGCAGCCGGCGTTGGAACTGGCCCAATCGATGGAGCACCACTATACGGTGGGCCCAGTCGGGATGCGTGCCATCCATCTTGACGATGTGTCTGTCTTCACACTGCAGCAAGCCCTGCAAAATGCCGTTCGGCCCACTGTCCCAAAACTGCAGCTGAGATGTCGACTGAGACGAGCATCAGAATTAGGAGTCCCGCCGCCCATGATGTCGTCGCAAAGCCTTGCGGGCGCTGAAGGGGGCGAAGAACGTAAGACAGCGGTGTGTGCGCCCTTTTTGACTAATTGACTACTGTGTGGTTGCCTTAGATGCCGTGTCTGGTCCTTCGGTGAGTCGTGAGTGGAGTGAGGCGCTCAGTCAGGTTGTGGCCATCACCACAACACTCGATACCATCAGAAGGCACTTCCAGGACTTCCAAATAATTAGAGAGAAGGTAGTCGAGCCGGAGTTTCTCGTTTGTAAGCTGCTTTTCGTCTGTGTTGCCTTTAGCTATCGCACCATGTAGAGACGCTCTCTGAGACATCTGACCACCTCTCGTCGTCCATCGATGGCGCGGCTCTCCCCTCCTCCTCGCTTTCTGCATTGAGGGAGAGCCTCGACCATCTACCTGATTCATTGGATAGGCTGCAGGGCATGCTCGACATGTGCCATCAGTCGCTAGGTCAGCCGGCAGCCGATTGCATGTCTCTATCGCCTCCACCACACACGTGTGTGTGCAGGTAGTGTGTCTGGTCCAGTGAGGAAGATGGCCATGTACCTCAGAGACATTCGCAAAGCCACGACGGTGGGCATCAAGTATACGGCTCTTCCCTGCAACGATCCTCCCGCATTCAGGGTATCGAAGAGGACATCCCAACACCCACTGCAGAGGAGCAACCGCCCCTCTCTCTCCCCCCGCCCACATACTACGACGAGATTCTCTCTCGCGTCATGGAAGACTTCACCATCTCGCCCAGACCAAAAGAAAGAGACTCCACTAAAGCCAAGGGAACCTCCCCTGCTGCTGGTGTGGTCGATGCCGAGGCTTATCTAGCGCGGCTGAGGAGCGAGGGGCTGATGGGCGAAGAAGGACGGGATGACGGACACCGGGCGGACGAGGGGTGGTCCTTCCCCGCACCAAGGGAGAGGGGCGAGGCAGGGCCGACCAGTGAAGCGCTCGCACCTCCACTGCCTCGTAGGCCATGAGTGGTTTGCCATGTGTCTCACTTTCCAGGGGTCTTTGTGTGTGTGTCTCCATTTAGCGGCGTTGAAAGAGCACATTGCACTGTACACCTGGGCGGACCAGCTGGAGGCATCAATGGAGCCCGACCTGTCGCCGTCCATTGCACTCGATGCGACATACAGGGGCAAAGTCGGCCTCAACGTGCCCTCCCAATCTCCCCAAAGACAGCGTCTCTCTGTGTTGCAAGAGGAGGATTCGCCACCTGCGGCCTCGGCTGCAAGCGGCCTGCCGGCACCAAACTATCTCGTACGTCGGACATACATCAGGGCATCACACGTGCTGTGTGCGTGTATGTGTTGTTTTTTCAGATGTCGGGGGACTCGCCGTCTTCTGGCAGTGAGCTGATTGGCGGAGGGGGTAGGAATGCCAGGCAGAGTGATGACAAGCGAGGTGAGATGGCCTATGACGAAGACATGCGTATCGACAGGCGAGACTTGCCGCCTCTGTGATGGATTCTTCTTACATGTATGTGTGGCAACGTGCGTGTGTGTTGGGGTTCGTGGATCGAGCATTGGAGCTGGTCAGATTCCATTTGTGTCTTCGCGTGCGTACACGTTGACTGGAAGCCATCGGCAGTCTTTTTGCTGTATATGGTACATACACACTGACGCAGAGCACAGTAATCGATCTACATGCGACACATGGCCATCGCCTATCTCATAACTGTCCTAAGAGTCCTCAATGACGCACCCCCCACTCTCCTGCCTGCACCTGTACCCACATGCATCTCTCTCCTTCTACGCCCCATGTAGTAAAACCTGTGAGTCTCGCCCCTCCGTCGCCTCTCACCCTCCCTCTCTCGCCACGCCATGACCTTTCTGTACCGCTTCTTCTGCCCTCTCCACAGCGTACTCATCGCCATAGCGCCATTCGACCAAGCCCCGATGAACGGGCGCCTGCCACGTCCCCGTTCACGACTAATCGCCGACCGAACGAGAAGTATGAACGCCGCTAAGGGGCGATTGGCGTTCGTGCAGTCATGCCGACGCATGAACTTTAACAATGTGGGATGGTCCAAGTCGGTGGGACTCAGGGAGGGGAGGGGGGCGGGAGGGGCAGGCACGTGGGTCACCAATGACAGAAAGAATGCCGTGAGCAGGACGCGCACCACCGCAAATGAGAATCCGTCCACATACAGGGCATCGTCTGCATCACCACTCTTCTTTCTCGTGAGCAATCGGGACACAGCCAATGGGAGAAGACGAAGGAGCCCCTCCTGGACAAGCCACGCCTCTCCAATGCCCCAGAGCCACTCGCAGACCGCCTCAATCACCCTTTGTTCGCCCGCCAGCGAAGAAACCACCCTGTCCTTGACTGCCTGTCGCTTTATAGCCCATCTCTCCGGGAACATAGGCACCACAAGCGCCACACCAGTGCGGGAGAGGTACACACAGACGAGCTTGGTGAGCGACAAAGGGATTGTTGTCGAGTCGTGGATTCGCTTCAGCCACTTCCTTTGCTCTTTCTTGGTCCATCTGGGGACGGCTGGCCGCGGCCGATACAGCGTGAGGGAGCCATTCTTGCCGGTCAATGCAGGACGGGCCGGATGTGTAGCGTTGTGCCGCTGGGGAGGGTGAAAGGCCGCATGACGATGACTGAAGGACATCGGCAGGGATGATGGAGCCGCATGGATGACCGACGGCAGCACCAGCAGGCTGAGCAGACACGAGATAGATCCGAAGAAGGGTCCAAGCGGGTGCAATTGCGGGTGCATGGACTCATAGATGGAGTTCATCTCTTCGTCGGACACACGCTGGCAGCTCCGTAAAGCCCTGTGATCTCCTTCGTTTCTCCCTCGCGAGGCGAGCTTAAAACTGCGAGCTTGGACAGATCGACACACGAAAGAAAAAACGCGGCGCCGTCGTCACTTGCAGGGCACTTGAACAAGGAAAGAGCAAGCTTCGTACAGTACAAACAGCTAGTCTCCCTCCGACATGTTTGGCGAGGAGCCATCGAGTGTGGGCAAGAGCCGCCGTGACATTGTGTGGGAGCAGAAGCGGCAGCGGTACTTCGAGTCGAAAGGCCTCAACAGGCCGCCAGGAGCCGCCCCGCCATTTTTTGACGGCCGCGGCTCTGTTGGGGCTGTTGGGGGTGGCGTGGATTTGGGGGAGCGGAGACGGTCGAGGGACTACCTGTTTGAGCCACTCGATGCAGGTGAAAAAAGGTCGAAACGACTGTCTGCATGAATCTATGTGCTCTTTCGTCTCTCTCACTCTCTCTCTCTCTCTCTGTGTGTGTGTGTGTGTGTGTGTCTGTGTTTGTGTTAGCTCCCGTTCCTCCCCCACAGCAAGACCCCTTCCGGAATCCTGTTCGGTTCAGTCCCAGCCCTCAGCAGCCCCTCTCATCCCCTCCCCTCCCTCCCCCCTCTCCTTCCCAAGCCCCGCTACCGTCGTCATTAGAATTCCAACCTATCTCACCACAGCAGCCGCCTGCAGGTACGCCCATCTGTGTTTGTCAACATGGAAGGCATAGGTATGGTTTGTCTGTGTGTGGTGCAGGTGGTCATCGCACTCCGCCGTTGATGGATGTCCCTGCTGGGCAAGTTGGGCGGGACGAGAGGTATATGACGCCTCCGAGGCTGAGAAGGGTGGATGAAGGCGATCAGACGGCCGCACAATCGCTGAGTGAGCTTCGCGGAGCAGCTGAATCACTGAGTCCTCATCTAATCAGCTCTTGTTCCCAGGTCCGAGCCCTAGTGTTGGTGTTCTCCCAATGGGTGGCGACAACGATAGACAAAAGGTCGGTTGGGGATCAACGCACACACACTACCTTTGCTTATTTGCATGCACATTTCTTCTCTGCACAGAAGCTGTCAAAGCAGCAAGAGTATGCGCGAGCACTGCAGCAGGTATTCATGCGGCAATTTAGAATTTCGCATCAATGACTTACATCCCATTTGCGTGTTTGTAGCAAATGGAAGAGCAGCGAAAGGCAAGGGAAGCCGAGAAGCAAATGCGGAGAGCATCGCCACCGAGTAAGACAGACACAGCACACAACAACAACATGCACTCTCCGTATGATCGTTGCTTCCATCAGCCACACATCTCCCCCCCGTAGCAGCTGCCCGGCACAGCACCCCTCCCCCATCCAACCCCCTCCTCGGCGAGGCGTCCGAGCGCCCCACAGCCCGACCTCTGGGCTCAAGACACAGCCCTCAGCTGGACCAGAGGCCCGAGTCACACCCTCCGCCACTGCGGATGGAAAGGAGGGGCAGAGTGACAGATGAAGATATGGGGGACGGAATTCCACCGGCGAGGGCGCATAGCTTGGGGCCTCCCGTGTACGGCGCCGGCGATGGTGTGCAGAATCCGTATGCGCCGATCCCGCCGATGTATGGGTATGGCGGCGCCCCGCCCCCTCCCGGACCGTACTATCCGCCTTATCCGTATTATCCGCCGCCCTTTCCGCCGTACTACCCCCCGATGCCTCCACAGGCAGCCGTCAGCCCCCCTGGTGCATATGGTAAGTCGGTCACAATGACACACCTCTGTTAATCGTTGCTGATCACGATTTGCATTGCAGGAACTCCCCCTGCCCCCGTCCCCACCTACCCATCACCACAAAGAGCGAGCGAGCCATCGGCTGCCCCCCAAGTGCCTCCCTCCCTCTATGGAAATGCCTCATTTGCCATGCAGCCACCACCTCCAGCGAAGAAAGCCAAAGAGCTGCACACGACCAAGGAGAAGAAGATGATCGGCCCTAATGGAGGGGGCATCGTGGGTGCGGGTGACTGGGGCAGTGGGCTGTTCTCTGGGCTTGGACAGGAGACGGCTGAGAGCAAAAGGGCCAAGAAGCATCAGGAGTACATGGCAGAACTGGAGAGGCAGATCAAGGAGAAGGTGAATACGAGATGGCAAATGACAGAGGGAGGACTGTGCAATTGTGGTCTGTATTCGGAGTGCAGGAGGCGAGGAAGCGTGAAGAACAGGAGAGGGCGAGAGAAGAGGAGAGACGCGAGGAGGAGAAAATACAGAGGTGCCTCATTGCAGCATCTACGTGGGATGGGAGACAAGGCTTTCGCGCACTTTGAAAATTCTGTTGGTCGATTCAGGGACATTCAGATGTTGCAGCGTCGCGGCAGCTCGGAGCGGCTGAAACACATGGCACAGGCAGAGGTGAAATGCCACAGACACGTCACACATGCATGCAGACATCTTGGTGTCCGTCGATTGCAGTCCCCTTCTCCCCAATTTGGTCTGCCTCCCCGATCGTCTTCACCCAAGCCACCATCACCCTTTCCCGACGCGCCACCGCCTCCCGTGTCGAAGCGTGATTTGCACAGGGTAGTCGAGGCACATAATCAAAGATACGTCCAGGGAATTCATTTGCATTTGCGGCTTTTTCAGCCGAAGAAAATTATCGATATCGATGGAGAGAGGCAGACGGCGGCAGTGAGGGATCCTTCAAGGTGCGCTTTTTTCCGCTGATGCCTCACGTCAGCATACCTGCCTGGGTATGTTGTCTCTTCTATCAGGTGGGGTGGCTTCGCCTCAGCGCCTGACGCAACACCCGTCCCGGCCCCCTCCCATGACGACGATGCGCCTGTGGGTTTCGGAGGGGGCAGAAATAGGAGGTATGCGCCAATCGAATGTGGGCAAAGCACAAGTTTTGTGTATCTATGGACGCTTCAGAGGCCGTCCTTCCGTTGACAGTCCCCAGCCTGTAGAAGCACCTCCTGTCTCCTCCGCGAAAGAGGAACGACAGGAAGAACAGTCGCAAATGGAGACCAGGTCAGAGACAGAGACTGCAAAGAGCCATCCATGTGCTTTGCATGAAAGCATCAATGTGCGTCGCTATACCAGGAGGGCCCCCCGTGCTGGCAGCCGTCAGCGGCATCGAGACAAGTCGCTGCCGCCAGACATCCGCAGCCAGCCAAGAAGCCCCAATGGAAGGTAAGTGGCTTTAACATAAGCCTTGCCTCCCCTCCTTTAGAAGCCTTGCCTGTGTGCATCCCAGGGCTCTTACCAAGCGCACGACGCATGAACGATTCTCTGCTGCCCCCCCGAGTAACAACGATGTGTTTCGTGCTGCGAGCGAGTCGCTCGACATTGAGCTGCGAAGGCTGCAGTCTGACTTCAAGCGGCAGCATGACGAGATGAAGCAGCATATACAGGCCATACAAGAGGTTAGTGACAGCTGTGGTAGTGGAGAAGACCGCTGCCTGAAAGCGGTCCGTGGCTGTCTTTAGGAGTCTCGCAGAGCGCAAGAGTCGCACATGAGGGAGATCCACAAGGAGGTACGCAGAACCCGCAAACGTGTGTCACGTCGGCAGCGCCTGATGCCTGTGGCACTTTTGCTCTTCAGTTCACGTCCATCAAGTCCCAAATCGACCGCAATCGGCAGCAAACGGACCTGTTTTCCGCCCTCGCACGGACACCAAGCCAGCCCGCATACACACAGCCGCCCTCGCCTCCCACCATGCACCCGATTCAGTCTCAATCAGTGCTTCCCCCGCCCCCCTTCTCTGCCGAGGGCCAGGCGAGGTCAGTCAAAGACGAGAGTGGCAGTGGGGTGCACCCCAGCGGCATTGTCATGAGCGACTCCCTTATGAGCGGCTCGTCGATGGTTCTGCTCCCGACTGAATCCAAGTTGCAGTACTTGTCCGAAAAAGAGCTCAGAGGTGAGAGAGGGCCGCTGACGTACAGCACATGTCTCGTCGTCACTGTGTCACATGATGTCAGATCGATCGTTCACCAATGGCGGGCGCTCGTCGGTTGTGTCTCGTGATTCCTTCATTCGTTCGTCGCCGTTGAGACTTGCTGGCTCTCACGCCATCGAGGCCTACACAGGGGGACGGGCCAAGTATGAGCCCTTAGTGACGGACGGTGCAGATCGGCTTGAGTTGACAAGCGAGTGGGGAGGAGACACAGCGACCGGTGAGCTGTCCAAAGGAAGCTTGTAAGGTTGCAGGCAGGGACAAGAGAGGGTGTTGGTCATTTGTTTGCAGCTCACATGAAGGAGCTGTACCGGCGAAACATGCGCAAGATAGAGGAGCTGCGAAAGCTGGAACAGCTGCTCAGGCAGAAGCAGCAAGTCGACCTCGGCACCGGCGAAGACAAAGCTCCCTCTCTGAACAATGTGATCAACGCAAAAACACAGCAAGAAGAACAGGACGATGCTAGGCCACCGCCACGAAAATACACGTCAGTGCGTGGCTTCAAGAGATGACCTGTGCCTCTTGTCCCTGCCTGACCTGCTGTTCGTGTCTCTGCAGATTTGATGTGCCTCCAACTGCCCTCATTCTCGAGAACCGCACACGCAGGAAGCCCTCAAGCGCTGAGGCCAACATGAGACGCGAGAGACGCCTGCTGCCGCCGAGAGGTCGCTCGTCGATCAAATCTGCCGCCGCTGGCTTGATGCACCTAGAAGGGTGTGAGCCTCCGGCCGTCTCCCGTCCGGATCATCCCTTCGCTGCGTCGGCGAACTTCTTCATGACAAGCGGTCTGGAAGAATGCTCTCTTTCCGGCAAGGCGGAATTCGTACCGATCGAGCAGCTGGAGGGCACGTACAGCTTTCGTTTTGACGAGAGTCATGAACTGGAAGAGAGCGTCCCTCGAGAGCCGCCGACGCCCATGCCCCTGCCGGAAGAGGGGGGGGACACTGGATGACAGCGAATCTTGTGATACGCAACAGGTGATTGAGTCGATGAATGACGAGCTCAAGGCGACACTTGGCGGCGATGGCCACGACTGAGCTTTTGCATGCACTGATTCTCTTTGTGACTAGAGCCGCATCGTCATTGCAGTTCAGCTGTTGTGGACATTTGTCGTACGATGATGCATGTTCATCACACCCGACGTAAGCACTGTCTTACATGACTTGCAAAACAGACTTGAAAAAGACCCTCGTGCAGTATACACAGGTTCGCGGGCACTCGTGCATCCTATCTCAAACATCGCATGTGGTGCCACCACAGGAGTCGGCCACCACCCACTCGCCCGGTGCGGCCTCGCGCATCAGAAATGGACAGTGCTCTTCGTGGATCTTGAAGCCCATGTTGTCTGCCTTCATGAAGCCGAGTGTCAATCTGTCTCCGTCTCCACAAAACCCCCCTGTGTCGCTTCTCTTCAGCTTCGAGATCAGCTCCTCCAAGTAAAAGTTCGAGCGCCTCGAGGACGGCTGCGCGTAGGGATAGCGGAGCGTCCGAATGTGGAAGTGCAGCGTGCTGTAGTAGGTGGCGGGTGGGTAATGACAGAAGACCACCTCAGGAGCACCAAGGTCTCCCAGCCATTCGTTGCTGGACTCGAGCAGCGCATGCAGCAGAGGCAAATCTCGAGCAGCTCGAAGATCACGCATGGTGTGCAAATAACCCTCGCATCTGGGGACCGAGCTGCACGTGTAATTCGCACGTGAGGCAGGCTCCGAGGGCGCCGGGCCCCTTTTTTCCTTCAGCTCTGTTAGCCATTCGGACACAGAAGGGACCCAATCTGGAGGTACCCACCTGAACAACAACACACACACACACACACACACACACAGAGGGAGATAGAGAGAGACACGCTCCATGCAGAGATACAGTCGTTGCTTTTCTCCCTTTCTTACCAAGCAATGAGTGCATATCCTGACTCCTTTGTCGGAAGACCGTCATGCCGAGGCCCCTTGACCGTAGAGAGGAGCGCCTTCTGCCCCATCTCTTCATGGAGCTGCACAGTGTGGGGGTCGTGATAGCCTGGGTTGGGGTGGAGAAGAAACGCGCCGTGCCCGCGCTCAACAGTGAGGAGCTTCACCATTCCCTTCCGCCCAGCACCATTGAGGAACTCGGATCGCCCTTGCCAGTGCCACACAAGCGTAGACGGAATGCCGAGGCGCTTGTACAGCGGACGCTGCATAGAGCACAAGAAGGCAGACAAAGATCGGTGTCTCTCACGAATATGAATGCGCCCTCCCTCCCTCACGGTGACCCACCAGTACACGCAGGTAGACCTCAGGATGCTCCGTTAGTGTGAGGGGGTATCGGGGGGGCTCGAACATTCGATGATAACGATTGGATCTCGCTGTCTCAGGCGCGCTCTCAATTGCCGTCACCGAGGCCTCGTCGTGAAGCGTAGCACGGGCAGAAGTAACGCCCAATTTGCTCTCCCAGCTAGCCAGGGCGTCATGAGTGGCGACAAGGGGCTCATCGAAGTGTGGTTCATAGCCAACGTGCGCAAGCCACGCCAGAGTGAATGCTCGGTATCTGAGACACAACCACACACGAGAGAGGTACACGATGGGCGATGCACAAATCTCTGTGCCTTTCTCTTGCGTGTGTGCGTACACGTCATGACTCTCGTTTGTAGAGCTCTTCATCGCAAGATACTCGTGCCACAGGCGGAACTGACGAAAGGCCGCCCCATTCCCACTGTTACGAATCGATTCCTCCAGCCTCTCGATTTGACTCCCTCTCTCTCGCCAGTTTGCCAGACATCCGGCCTCCTCCTGCTCGAGCTGCAATTTCAGCTTGCCAATGGCATCAGACGGGGCAGCCGCGGCCACAGCGGCGTCACGCAGTTGGCTGAAGATTGTGTGGGTGACACCGAGCCCTCGATCTGCTCTGTTCTCCATGAAGCTCCAAAGGTCACTCAGGCGAGGTTCGCCTCCACTGCGAATGCTCTCAACACAGTGGAGCCTCGCTTTGAGGTTTTCCGCCACCGCAGTCCGACGCGTATGCCAGAGATTGTTGAGTACACTCTCGAGATTATCTGACAAGAACACAAAGGGGGGAGTGGGGAAGAATCCTGCTCTTTGCACTCAGAAAGCTACCGTCGAAGATTTCGCCGCGGAACGTCTTCTAGATGAATGCTGGTAGCAGCATCTGCACGGCTTCTCTGCTCCTGGCCTGGGCTGCGTTGCGATTGCTCCTGGAAAAAGCATGAAGTGAGCAAGTGACGACTTCAATCTGACAGAGATGTACCTGCGTGGATCCCATGGAATGCTGAACGAGCCTTGCACAGCGGCATGAAGCGCCAGCAAAGTCAGCACCTCGTGTGGCTCGAGAGGGGCCGCACGAATGTCGGCTCCGGTATCGAGTACTCGGGAGACGGCATCAACAAAAGCCGTCAATGCACGATCCACACGCCATCCGAACTCGATGACCCCTTGCAGGTGCTCAACGTCGCGTTTGAGAGCTTAATGGAACTCAAAGTCTCGCCGACGAATGCCGTGAGTGTAGCCAAACTCCTGCAGACCAGGACCATCCAACACTCGAAACGCAACAGGCGGGATGCAGTTGCTAAGAGCCACGTTGAACGCCAAACTCCTGAAAGTGCACATGAACGTTTGATATACATATGTTCGCGCACTTGTGATACTTCACTGCATACCTGAGGTAGGTGAAGGCTGCCCGATGGTAGCCGTTGAGGTCCAGCACCTCCACAACGCTCCGCAAGGCCCGTGCCTGAAGCCAGGCAATCCCGCCATGCTCGTCGACAGCAAACTCCATATCTCCGCGACCCATTGCGAAGTAGAGTGCCAGGGCCTGTCTCGATATGGTCTCCATCATCCCCTGGATCATGACACGTGTCCTCTCGTCGTGATTGTCATTCATCATCAGCTTGGTCACTGCAGCACTGCCACCTCGGTCGACCGCAAAAGCGCACACGTCCGCATCGGTTGTGCCATTCATCAAATCATTCGCATCGCGCCCGATTTGTCCCTCTAAAACAAACACAGATGAGTCGGCTTGATGAGGAATGAAGACGCATCCCGCCATGCGTGGCCGAACGACCATCTGCTGGATCACGACTGCCATTCGCGCATTGCCGCTCCTCAGCTGGGCCTCTTTGCCGAATAGTGACCACACGACGCATCGAATCGCAGCCGGAAGGCCGTCTCTGTCGACGTCCAGCTTGCTGTCGAATGTACCGCTCATCGAGTCCTTTTGGCCATCCTCCACGTCTGCTGAAGACCTCACAGCCCATCTTTGGCACCCGCTCGCAGCCTCGGTTGAGGCCAAGTGCTCGTCGATCCATGCAGAGGCAAGCTGCTCGAATGCCCTCTCGATCTTGCCAATATCATCGTCCTTGCATGCCATCATTGAATAGGCGTCATCGAGCGAGTCTGCTCCGGTGGCGGCGCTGAGCCACTGCAGGATCGTAGGAATCTCGATTGCGATGAAATGGGGAACGTAGGCGGTTAGCTTGAGGCGTCCAAGGGCATTTTTCAGGAGCAGCAGGCCTGCCGCTTTGCCCCCTTTCGTTGCGAGCACTCCGGAATCGGCCGGGACGGGCGGGACATCGCGCAGGGGATCACTGGTCCATTCTTCGCAGGGTGTCGAGAAGATAGAGATGCGAGCGTAGTCACCCTGGATACAGACAAAGCATGTGTCTACGGAAAAGCTGGTCGAAACTTCGTGTTGCACCTACCTCGAGGGGCTCGTCGCAGTCAGTCCACTCGCTCCACACTGCGTAGGGAGTCGCCGAGACTCTTCCGTTTTGAATGTGTGCCGTGAATGCTTGCGTGAGATTGATGGCACACCGACAGCGGACCAGCGCCTGGATGGCGACCTCCTGAAACGCACAAAACGCAACGGACTCTTCTGCATTTATGTGTGTTCATACATGCATGGATGTCAATTACTTTGGAACACTGCTTGAGCAATACAAGTGTGTCTTCGTCAACTCCCGCGACGTCTTCAAACGACCGAACCCATTTCACACGGCCCTCGAAAGGCGTCTGGCCTTCAAAAACGAATCCCTTCATCGAATGCTCGACCACTCGAGTGTCATCGAACGTGGCTGAGCGCGAATCTCCCTCTCTCCCCTGAGTATGCAACAGGCGCACCCGCATGCCAGCATTAGATCTGATATTTGCACACGCCCCGGGGAGCTCCCCGCATTTGTACCATCTCTATGTCACCAAAGCGAGTAGGCTCCTCACGTCCAGCCCCGTCTGTGGTGGTGGTTGCCGTCGCCATCATTGGGAAGCAACCGACGAACAGCTGGTACAGCCAATTGAGCCAGCCTCGGACGAAGGTGGATTGACGGCCCCTGCCGTCAGTCTCGCACTGAACTGCCCTCGTATGCTCCATCCTCACTACATTTCTTGCAACAAGGTCCACGGCATTCCTACTCGTAATTCCTACTCGGATGACGAGAACTGACAGATGGATTCATCGCCCGGCGATGTAATCGATGGAGCACAGTGATGAATCGGGATGAGAATGAACTGCATTGAACGCCGTTTTTTTTTCCGCGCGGATTCCTCGCGCACCGGATCGCGAGCTCAGCACTCTGAGCTCGCATTTCTTGAACAGAAATCCCGCATCGCGCCGTGCATGTTTTCTTCAGACTGAAGGTGTTCGTGAAGGCATCGTCGACTCGGCAGCTTTTGGCTCGTCATTTTTGTCTCAAGAACTCACAGGCAGGCAAAGATCTGCGTCCCTGCTCTCACGCGGTCATCAGAACACTCAGTCCGCGCGTGTGTGTGTATGTGTGTTGCAGGCGCTCTTTCGTCAGCCCCCATCGTTGCTCGCCCGAAACATGGCCACTCTGGTCAATAGCGGAGGCGGCACAACCAGGCACGCAGAGCGATAGAGCAGACACGTGAGCTGTGATGGCCCTGTATTATGCAGCAATGACGCCGCGACTAAGGAGGAGTTTGTGAGCCTCTTCGACCGCCTCAAGGTGTCACCATCAGCACATGCACATGTTGGCTGTCCGAATGTACCCGTGCGGATCTGTATGATTGTGTCAGAGTGATCTTCTATCGGATCTGTCCTGCCTGCCCATCGCACAAGACGTCAAGCAGGAGCTGGAAAAATACTATGAGAGGGCACTCACGTGAGACAAATGCTCCCCGTGCGTGCAGATAAGTGTGTGTGTGTCTGGTGTTTGTGCAGATACAACGTCCTGGGAGGCAAGATGACTAGAGGGCTGACCGTCATCAAGGCAAGCTGGGCGCCAATGGACTGACTCACATATACACATCTGTTTTGCTTCTCTCTCTGTGGCCGTCAATCAGTCTGCGGAGTGTTCGCTGAGTCGCCTCTTGACGGCCTCGGAGCGGCATGACGCGATGGTGCTCGGATGGGGAATCGAAATCATGCAGGTGATTGCGTGGATTGACTAAAACAGGCCGACATGTAGTTCTGTGTCGCTTGTGCACCAACCAGGCGTTCTTCCTGACGGCGGACGATGTGATGGATCAGAGCCACACCAGGAGGGGAGCACCATGCTGGTGAGCAAATGGGATGCGATGGATGCATGGGTGTCGCGTCATGTTATGTGCATCTTTGGGTGCAGGTTCCGTGTGCCTGATGTGACGGCCGCCAACGCCATCAACGATTCTCTCGCCATGGAGGCCTTCATCTACAGGTGCAACCACACACACTCACGTGCGGATACACACCCAGGTGGATTGCCCTTCGCGGCTGGTTTGGCTCTTAGGCTGCTGCGGAAGTACTTCTCGTCGAGCCCCAAGTACGTCAAGTATGTGGATCTCTTCCTCTCGATGACCTACAAGACCATCGTCGGCCAACACCTCGATACCAACGCGCAGCAAAGGAGAGAGGGAGAGGTACGTATGGGATCTACCCGCACACAGAGACGGGAAAACGTGTGTGCATTGTCCGTGTGCAGCTGTGTTTGGATCAGTCTCGGTTCACGATGGACCGCTATGTGGCGATTGTGAGGCACAAGACGGCCTACTACAGCTTCTACATGCCCTGCGCACTCGGTATGCCTACACGCACGGATGGGCCCTCTCTCTAAAAACCCGCTTCATTGCGTGTGTGCGCGGCTGGTAGGGATGATCGTGGGCGGCATTGAGGATGATGCGGCCTTCCAAAAGACGGAAGACATCTGCATGGAGCTGGGCCAGTACTTCCAGGTGGGTGAACTGTCTACATCTGTGCAGGCATGCGTGTGGGTGGTGCATTGACGCGCAACACACTTGTGGCTGAAGTGCGTACACGCAACACATTGGTGGTTGATGCAGATCCAGGATGACTTCCTCGACTGCTATGGCGACCCCGAGGTGATTGGCAAGGTCGGCACCGACATCCAGGAGAACAAGTGCTCATGGCTCGTATGCCAGGTAACTCTCGCACCGAGAAGAGCTGGTTGGTTTGCCTGCACACTTGCTTCTCGCATACAGGCTCTGCAGCGTGCCGACGAGTCCCAGCGGCAGATACTCATCGAAAACTACGGCAGGTGGGCGACAGGACATCCACCGATCTCGATACACACGTGTCGGGTGCATGTGTCCCATCTACCTGTGTTGTGTGTGCAGGGATGACCTGTCTGCCGTTGCCAAGATCAAGACCCTCTACAAGACGCTCAAGCTAGAGGTACGCGCGCGACACATGACACACGCAGCGGATGACTCGATGTGTCTGTCGTCCAGGATGTGTACGCCGCATACGAGGAAGAGGCCAAGGTGAAAATCGACAAGTGAGCGGAACGCGGAAGCGGCACAATGCGCGTCGCATGTATGCCTTTGTCTGCGTGCGTGCAGTCTGATCGCGTCTGTCGAGTCGGCCAGTCTGCAGTCCCTGTTCAAGTTCCTGCTGAGCAAGATCTACAAGCGCAACAAATAACCAGCACCTCTCAATTTTTTGTGTTTGCGTGCGGCCGCGTGCCTGACAGTTTTGCACCTCCTGGCTGGGCTGTACATGTTGTGCATGTGTGTGTGTCTGTGTTTGTATTTATGTAAGCAACAAGCCAATGAAGGTCAATGTGGGCCTTCGGCAGCTGTGACCGTAGGCGGTGACATGACCGTCGGTCTGAACGTAGGTGGTCACGTGTTCACCATGCAGTGCTCTGAACGAGACATGTCTACAGTCCGGACCGCGTAAGTGGGTCACCGTATAAGCGGGTCAGTTGCGTATGTGGGCCAGCTGGGCTGAATCACTCATCAGCCATCACACCACAGCACGTCTGCCTATCTCTTGGCGACACTCATGACCTTGACATGGTCCTTGTGGAACACCGCGTATTCATTCCTGTCTTGCACAAACACCGAGTCGTATCCCTCCCTCCTCAGACTCTCGAAGGTGTGCTGCGTCGCCTGCTGCGAGGAGATCACCTTCTGCCTCCCCAGGAAGACTCGCGCCGTCACCACATAGCCTTTACGGTGTGCGAGGCGGTCAGTCGTCGGGATGTCGGGCGCAAAGTAGATGGCTCCGCCGAGCCGGCCGCCGGTGCCCGGGAACATCTCTCTCGACGCCTGAATCGCCGCTCCTGAGGGCCCGTCGGTCTGGTGGTACAGGGTGCCCATGCCTTGACCTGTCCGCCAATTCGGGCAATCTGACGCAGGCAACACCACAAGGCATGCAGCGGTGTGTGTGTGTGTCGCTCTAGCTGGGGTTCCTCTCACCAATGCGGCGGTGGTCCGAGTTTCGACTCTTGCAGATGTTGCAGAAATGCTGTCTTGTCTGTTTGCACCAGCCGGTGTTCTGGCACCCACGGGCGTTGCAGTAGAGACCCATCGCAAGGCGTCGCACAGCAGCTGCAGAATCAAGACGCGAGCGACGGCAATGACATGTCGCGTAGGAAAGAGAATGAAGATATGTAGGACAAACAATAGGAATTCGAGCAGGAATTTTAAATGTTTGGAGACTTTACATATCTTATCTTTACAATATGTAGGTAAACTTAAATGACTTTTATGACCAAGGGTATGGTAAATGCCGCGCTGCAGGGAGGGCGACGATATGTAGACAAGCACACGACACACACATGCCATCGATCTCACGCGTCTGCGTATGTGTGCGACACACTGCACACATGCCACAGCAACAACTGACACACGCGCCACCTGTCTGCCATGTCCGTGTTGTCGCTGCAGAGCCACGCCAAGCACTACTGCCGCGTCTGCCGCAATGGTGACAGCGACCATCGCGCCAGCGACTGCCCATTCCTGAGAGCCCACCTCAGCGGCGGCCGATGCTTCGGCTACCATCAGACCTCTCCCGAGTTCGGCCGCCAGATCAGACAGACGCGCGTGATGCGGCCCAGCTCGACGGGGGCGGCTGGCCGCGGCATCTACTTTGCCATTCGCCCTGAGGAGACCGAGGGGAAGGCCCGCCACAAGGGCTGCATGGTGAAGGCAGAGATCCGCATGAACAACCCCAAGCACGTCTGGCAGGCACTGTCTCCCAATGAGACGTACGCATCGCTGGCGGCTCAAGGGCATGATGGTGTGATTGTGCATGGGTACAAGTCGGGCGTCGAGATCGTTGTCTATCACGCAGAGCAGGTCAATGTGCTGCGGGTGCACCGACGCAGGCAGTGAAGACATTTGCTCTGTCGATTTACTTCTTCAAAGACGAGACACCAATGCGCATTAATTGCCTTCCTGCCGCAGTGAGTCAGTGGACCGTTCACTGTCTCTCTGAGTACACGAACGGAGTGACGTCCAATCTTTTAAAAACATAGGTCTGTCTTCACGTCATGGGACGCAACTAGTAGCTAAACCGACATCAAGAAAGCGTACGTCACAGGGCCCTCAGCTGCAGCACCGAATATCGCTGATAGACGGCCAGCTCATTCAGGACTTTTGGCAACTGCGCACACACACGCACACACTCGTCTATGCCCACACACGAAGTACAAGTATGTGTACGAGTGAGTGAGCAGCATGACCACTCACCTGCCAAATTCCATCGATGACGAAATGCGCGCCAGCCCGATAGAGCTGCTCGTATACGGTTTTGATGCGGTCACTCAGCTGCCTGCACACACCCACACACGTGGATGGAGTCTTTCCACACACGGCGAAGGGCCGCCTCACTTGCTTATCGACCCATCGATGTCGGCATCGGCTCTCTCGCTCACGAGACGACTTGTACGCGCCACACCTACTGTCCAGCACCTATGGACACATCCACTCACAGGCTGCACACGCACAGATAGGCTCCCAATGGCTTGTGGTACCCGGCATTGAGCCCCTCCTCTATGCCGCTGGCCGTGCTGCTCACGCGGACCACACTCGTGGCTGGGTACACACCTGCATAACCATGCAAACACGCAAAAAGCATGTGTTATGTGTGTCACGTGTACATGTGTTGTGTGTGCCTACCCAGTCTGTGCATGAGGTGGAACACCAGCCACGGCTGGGGGGCCTTTGGGGAGGTCTCTCTGGTCGACAGAAAGGCGTCAGGCAGGAAACCCTCGCCGAAATACTCTGCTCGGAGCTTGAAACCCTCAAGGGCCTCTGGAGGGACACACACAGTCGCATCGAAGCCTGTGTGAGGGCTGATAGATGTGCGTGTAGGTGTGCCGACCTTCGTTGCAGTCAGCAATGACGGCGATCTTCAGCCCAGCCTCCTGAGTCGACGGGAAGAAAGGATATCTGAATTGGCGTGACGCAATGAGAGTGAGGTCCCCTCTTTGTCATTGCAGCAAACCTTGAGGCTCTTCAACGTCTCTGTGGCGTTCTGCAGGGGCATGTGTGCAGATGCCTCCAGATGTGCCCATATGTGTGTCTAGTGTGTGCACACGTACCTGTATCGGTTTGGATGTCCTCACAGTCTTCACGTACTCACTGTCAAAGGTCTGCACACAGGCGCAAGGATCAGGCCTCTGCGTACCTGGACAAATGAGCGCACCTGTATGAGCGATGGCACCACCCAGGCAGGGGCAGTGACGTTCGGCAATGCAAGATCAGTGGCCCCCTGAGCCGCCTCGCGCATACGATCTGCACACACACGCATCGCAACCAACGGTATAGGTCTGTCTGCCGTGTACAGGTAGGCATCTCACCTTCTGTCTTTTGACAAAGGTCCCGCAGCAATCCCACCTTGCCTGTGGCGTCCTGCACACGTGCAGATCTGCGTGGTTTTTCTCACTCACAGGGTGCTCCTGACTCACCATTGGGTGCGGGTCTCCCTCCACAAGGCGCGTTTCATCCTCACTCAGCTCAACGCCCTGCACAGAGCCACACACACACACACACACACACGAGTGCAACAGACAAAGGCAGAACTTCACTCACTCGCGATAGAAAGCTCTCTCGGAGTGCGTTCTGTGTGCCGTGGAGGCCATGGTCGAACCACACGCCTTCCAGATCAAGAATGACGGCACGCAGATCTGCAGATCCGTCGGAATGGCTGCAAATCATGAATGAATGTACTCTTTCTTACCAACAGTGGCCTTCCTGCAGCGAAAGCCAGGGTCAAAAGGCGCCTCTCTCGCCAGCATCCGCCTCTGCGAGCTTAAAAGCTTGCGACCCAACCAACGGCCGCGACAAAACGGCCTCCGGCAGGAAAACCTGATGACGGAACAGGAACAAGGCAAGGACAACAGGGATACAGCGGGAGGTGCAGGGGAGGAAGCAGCGCATGAACAAGGGCACTGCAAGCGGCAGCAGTGGAGATGCTTCCCTTGCCCACGTATACGTTGTCTGAGCGCATCAGGGATGCACAGCGACAAGGCAAGACGCGCGTCGCCGTGCTGATGCTCTCTGGCGCACTCAACCCTGTAAGGATGGATAGACCGATGAAGACAGGTAGATCCAGTCAACCGCTGACAGTGTGTCTGTGGGTCGCTGTGTTCAGGTACACAATGGCCATTTGGAGGCCATGGAGGTGTGTCGCGCCGCCATTGAGACGTTCTTCGGTGTGGCTGTCGTTCAAGGTTGGTCTGACTTCTTCTGACACACAGACACGCCAGACACACAGACACAATGCTGCATGGACTGATGTGTAGGTTATGTTATACCGTCCTCCGAGCGGTATGTCGACGGCAAGCAGGCCAAGAAAGGGCAGCCCTCGCTGAGCCTCGCCGACCGCGTCACGCTGTGCGAGTTGCCTGCCAGGCACACCGGCCACCCCACAGGGATGGGGGCTGGTCGCCCTGGCTGTCGGTCTGCTCATGGGGTTGGCACTGCAGCTGGGCACTGGCCGAGTGAGCGATTGAATGATGGGGTGTGTAGGGAATGGTTCTTCGAATGAGCGTGTGTCTGGCTGGTTCGTTCAGGGAGCTTGCTAGCACCATCCCTCAGCGCATTGATATGAGGGGCATCCAGCTCGGTCCGTGTGTACTCACAAGCGGAAGCGGATCAGCTGAATGTGTGGCCTTGTCGTGTCGTGTTTGTTCAGAGGTGTGGGAGGTGGCCGGTGCGGACTTCGCTCTCCGTCGCAAGCTGTGGCGCCCACCACATTCACTCGACGAGCAGAGACACCGGCGTATCATCTGTTTGGAGCGGCAGCCAGCCACCGACACCATCAGACACGAGATTGTCCGACACACCCACCACCTGCCCCTCACTGCCACCGTGCGACAGCAGCACGTGACCGCACACATCGTGCCCTTCAGCTGCCATGGCAACATGCTTGTTGTCGGCGGCATGTTTGTGCTGTTGACCGGGGCGGGGACGCTGATGCGGCTGAGCGACGCCAGCAGCACACGTGTGCGGAAGGAGCTCGGGCGTGACGGTGGGCGTGAGATGGTGCGTGCCGGGTGGATGAGCAGAGAGGTGGTCGAGGCCATGCAGGGCATGCACTGGAGGCAGGAAGGAAGCTATGGTCGGCACAGACGCAGGTCGGGGGCCTAGCTGGCAAGACGTATATACACATATGAGGAGGGGGGCGTGTGGGAGGCAGTTGAGTGCCTGTCTGCTCTCCAACTGTCTCTCTCACCCACAAATGCGCGAGAATGGCCGAAAGTGAAGACACATAAGGGCAGATAGACGAATGCAATCATGGCACTGATTCCATGTGTCTGATGAGGCTACTTTGAATCCGTGCGCGCGTGCGTGCGTGCTGGATAGCGGGTCTTTTCGTGATTAGCAACGCATCAATAGACGAAGGGCAAATTACATATGCAAAAAGTCTGTGTATAGGCATTCGTATGCAAGAGAGGACATTCGAGGACAGACATAACGAAAGACGAAAACAGAGGATCACGCCGTTTTCTTTGCGCGGCTATTAATTGTGAGAGGGAGATGACGGGAATAGTGCGCATCTCTCCCGAACGGTCTCTCCCAACGCGTTATCTCCCTCCCGGCCGTATCTTTGCACCTTTCTCCTCCATTTTGCAACATGGCAAACACAATGTCAGCGCCGCAAGCCCCTCAGCAGCAGCAGCAGATCAAGGTGACAAGCAAATCGCAAACAAGCTGGGGTCACTCTCGTCACACAGAACGTGGTTGTGTGTGTGTGCGTGTCAGATGGACGTCGAGAGCACCAAGCAGGCATCTTCCTCGAGTCGCGTGTTGGTCATCGTCGGCAGCACTGCCCTCTATCTCGTGACGATGGCCGCCGTCTTCGGCCTCTGCTTTGCCGCCGTGCAGCGTCAGCCAAGCCAGAGAGGCCGACACACAATGACCTGGCAGCTCTCTCGTCATTTTCTTGTGTTTGGCAGTGTCGAAGGATATGCGTGTGTCTGAGGACGATCTGCTGGTGAGCAACAAGGACCAGGTGCCGCTGCGATTCAGCGAGGCCCTCAAGTTCGTGCCGCTGGAGGGCTTCGCCTTCCTGCCGCTCGCCGAGATGCAGAAAATGGCATCGCTGCACATCATGGTGGGCCAATGTGACACTCTGATGGGCCCTCACACTCGTGTGTGTTCTGTGTGTGTGTGCAGATCGGCAAGGACGGCGAGCGTGTGTACAACATTGAGGCCGTGTTCCGCGACCGCAAGACCAACACCACCGAGGCGCACCTGTCGCTCGGACACAAACTCGTGTCCGCACCTGGTCGGCTGAAAACACACACGCGGAGATCACTGTGGACACGGACGCTCGGGCACACCACTGTGATCAATGTGTGTGTGTGTGATGATCAGGCAAGTTCTCGTTAATTGACGAGAAGGGTGAGGTGGTCTACGCAGGCGAGTACGAATACGAGATTACCACGCTAGACAACGCCGTCAAGATCCACAAGGAGGGGGCGGTCGAGGAGAAGGGCAGCAACAGGCGCAGATTGATTGTCTCAAAAATTAGTGAGTGAAATGACCGCTTGCCGTGGGCGCATCATCCGCACAATTGCTTGAATGTGCGTTGTTGGTTCAGTCAACAAAATCCATTCCATCCTGGGGGGTGGCTACTATGGCGGCGGCTATTACGGTACGTATGCACATCGACACACAACGACACGCGGCCACTGACATGTGTCTGGGCGTTTCTGTGTGCAGGTGGCGGCTATGGTCCCGGCGGCTATGGGGGCCCTGGCTACGGTACCTCTGCACTTACAAAGCACACTTAGGCGCACCCACACCCGTGCTGACATGGATCTGTGTGCGTGTGTGTGAGTGTGTGCAGGCTACGGCAGAGGCTACGGCGGCCCCCGTTATGGATATCCCGGAGGATATGGCTATCCCTATGGCGGCTGGTGAACACGGCAGCCGTGAGCATGAGCAGCACTTTCTTTGTCAATTCGTACACACGAGGGAGGGAGGGATGCAGGGAGAGAGGAAACATACATACGTATCGCACACAAAACGCTTCATAAGTAGTCCCAGCAGTGTTTTTGGGTTTTGGCCTGTAGCGAAACGAGCGACGAGATGCACAGATCCTAGCATTGCGCACGATTGACTCATGGCAGGCGCCACATTTTCTCATGTGTACGTGGGTGGGTGCGGGTGTGTTGTAAGTATTTCATGAAGTTCATGCGAGAGAGGACGGCGTGGCGCGAGGAAAGGAATGGCATTGGCTTTTACGTCACTCGATGCTACCTGTACACAGCACGCGTACACACACACATGACTCAACCGTGGCAATGGCTCTGTACACGTCTGTATGCGTATGCGGTGCGTTCGTTTAGTCAAACACACGTGTGGCACGTGTGAGTGAGTTTTTGTCTTTTTGTGAGTACACGTACACAGGAAGGATTGAAGCACTAAGGTGTGCGTGGAAAAGGCCATGCGAGAGAGCGGACGAGGACAGACAGACAGATGAGGACAAGCACGTATCGATCTGAGTGCGATACATCAGAGGGGCAGTGCAGCAGAGCAGCGAATTAAGAGTAACGAGGCGGACATGCAGTGCAGTCTGTGCTGCGGGGAATGCCGAACACTGAAGAGGATTTGCGTACAATGAATTCGATCCATCAAGCGCGCGGTCGGAAGAGGAATAGCCGAAAAGGGACAGGGAAACTTTCCGACGAACAGCCGAAAGGGACAGGAAAACTATCACATGAAGGGCACATGTAGATGGGTGAGTGTCCACACGCCGGGAATCGCCAACGATCCGTGCAGGCGATTCGTTGGCGTAGATGGACCCTTCGGCGCCTGAAAGCAACAGGACGGAGCGACCGGACGTCAGGCATCTCTCCGATCTATCGCGCCTGCCCCGAAATGAGAAGGTCTGTGTACCCTCACAGAGAAGTTCCATCTATCACCTGCCTCTGTTTTCATTTCGTTTGTGTCTGTCAGGTGACGTTTTCAGCCGTCGTTTGGGAGGTGTCAGCATGCCCACTGGACCCAAACAGCGCACGTAAGCATCAGTGTGTCCAACAAAGACGTGCTCACACTCGGGATGATCCATTCATGTGCGGGTGTGTATACAGCCTGTGTGAGGGTCTGGTTGGTGGATCAGAGTTTTGCCCCTGACAGAGCAACAAGGCCGTCGGTGGCCCTCAAGGTGCGCTGGACGGTGGATGCACACACCCGTATATGCACCACCTGGTGCTGTGTGCTGCGTGGCAGCTACCTGTCGACATTCCCATGATGGCGGCTGGTGATATCCTCCATGTCGATGGGGCAACGGTAAGCAGGCCTGCCACCACACGCAGGCGCTCTCTCTGCACATGACATGTGCATGATGTAGGTCGACCCCAAGACCGTCATGACGACCACCATCGTGCCCTCTGGCGACACATCTGCGTACGTCTGGCCGTCCTCTTTGCCCGAGCCCCCTTCACACGAGAACGCCACCTATGTGCTCGGGCCGAGCGGTGCGGTGGACGCTAGGATGGCGACACAACTGTGGGCGTGGGTGCAGACTTGGGGGAAGAGGCCGGCTGGCGGCAACGGGCAGACAGACATGATTGGAGAGGTGAGCACATACAAACCACTTATGTACGGCCATCAGACCACCTTGTGGATTTGTTGCAGGTGGAGGATGTCAGTCTGTCGCCGTGCTTTCGAGTGAAGCTGTCGGCTGCTGACCAGACCCATGACGTGTGGGTGCTGTCTGAGGCACTGGGCTACCACCTGAAGAAGGCAAGACCACAGCAGACGGAAGACCCCCCACACACATTTGTCGCACTTCAGGGTGTAGAGGTCGGTGATATCCTTCATCTCAGTCGTCTAGAGCACATGCCTGGCGGCACAGGTACGATCCCCAGACAGCAAATCATGCCTGCACACGCGACGCTTGTTGTCTCCATCCCAGGCTACATGTACACGACGTCGTCGTCCGCCGTCACCCGTCTGCCTGCCACCCACGCCGCTCGGCGCTCCACCTCTCCCCCGACAACCATCGCCCCCAGCTCCTTGGCAACCATCCCCGATCCATCTGTGTCGCCACGGAAGCCACCCGCAGCACCACACATGCCCCCTGCCAGCAACGCAGCAGACAAGCCAGCAGACGTAACGGTGCGAGCGGTTGCATTGCCGACGACGGCTCTATCTGGATTCCCTTTAAAGGTCGCGCAGGCAGGTCGTGCCGTGGCAGCGGGCAAGGCTGACGGGGTAAGGGCTGTGGGCAGGGGGACGCCGATCGGCAGCAAGGGAGATGTGTCGGACTCATCAGACGGTGACCAAAAAGTGGATCGGACAAGGTGACCACATGACACACACACAGTGCACGTTCACGAAAATACACAAAGCTCCATCTGCACCCCTCTGTCTGTGTGTGGGTGCGCTTAGTCGCCCTGCCAACATCCGCTCGGTGTCAGCCACACCGACGCCGACGCCGACGCCGACGCCCACGCCCGTGATCGGCGACCATCCATCACTGGTTACGGCCTGCCTGCACGTGCAGGACGGCGCCAACCGGGAGGGCCTCGGCGTGTGCAAGAAGTGTTACAACAAGGTAGGTAGGTCGGGGGATACCATACATACCGAGACACACCACTCACTCGATCGAACCATCCACAGTACAAGGACTGGGTGTGGGCGGAAGGGCGGCTGTCCGAGCGGCTCATCGATGCCTTCAACAAGGGAGGGGACCTCGGGTTGGTCTTCTCCGAGTACGTCTTCCCATCCCCCAACAAGGTAAGCAACCGTGCCACGGCCGCAGCACACGTGATGCACAATATCATGTGTGTGTGTGGTTGTGGGTGTGGCCAGTGCATCCCGCTTGCAGCCTTGGCAGAAATCAGGACAGGCAAGCTGACGCCCAAGCTGACCAAGAAACTCGTCAACGGCCGCAACGGCGGCCTGGACGAGATCGACGTCACCTGGTTCGTACTGAGGCAGATCCAGGTAGGTGCCCTCCTCCCCCTCCCCGTCCCCGCAACACAACACCCAATGCATGTGGGGATCGGGGTTGTGTTGCAGGAGCGGTATCAGCTCCCAGAAGGTCGCAAGACAGCGGTGTTCGAGCTGCCCACCAACATGACCGACGAGCCGCCGTCAGTCATCCGCAACAGAATGCCGCTGCCGGCGAATGACGACCAACCAGAGAACGAAGTCCCCCGGCAGAGGCGTCGCGCCCGCACACCAGCACCAGCACCCAACACGCTCACCAGTGCGGCCCCACCACAACAGAACAACTCATCAGAGGCAGCATTTGACGCCCCCGTGGCCCCCTTTGTCAGCAACGGGGCCCAACAGGGGGGTGATGGTGGCCTGATGGCCATGGCAGATGACGCAGAGGTACGTAGGACAAAAGACATGCGCAAACGTCCTCATGTGATGGCCTTCATGTGCGCAGGTGTGCGTCAGTGTAGCAGTAGCACCAGCAGCTGGCGTGACTTTCAGCGTGGTAGGGTGGAATGTGATGTACGAGTCGACCGTGGGCACAGGGGCCACCAGCAAGCGCCGGATGGTCGTCAGAGCGATGCACAGCCACCTCCAGCCAGAGATCATGCTCATGCAGGTTTGTACGTATGTTCCACGGAGAGGAAAACATTTGTTTATGTGCCGAACATGTGTGTGTGCAGGAGGCCAGGTCCGTGTCTGAGCTGGTGGACGGCTCATATCGTATTACTGCTACAGGTCGGCGTGGTATCACACCTCTGTGTGCGAAGCCGTATGTGTGTGTATGCCTTTGTTTCAGGCGGTGTCGGCAGGGAGGATGCGGCCATCGCATGGGACGCCCGGCGTGTGACGCTGACGCCGATCCCGATAGATGGCGACATCTGGACGGTAGGCATCCACACACAGAGAACCCAGACATGGACATGATGGACATGATGTGTGTGCTGCACATGACGGTTGTGTGCAGGATGCGCTGAGTGCTCTAAAGGCCAGCGAGGCCTTCAACCGCGACTTCCGCATCCCAAAGAGGTACGTGTGCATTTGTGGGAAGGCACAGAGGCACGTGTGTGAGTGTGTATGCCTATGCAGGCAAGATGCGGAGGCCTTCATTGACGGCCTGCTGGCGGGTGGCGGCGCTGACCGACACAGACTGTGTGTTGGCCTCGTCACTGCAGAGGTGCAGTCACACATACTTATGGCCCTATGTGCGTGTGTCGATCTGTGTATGTGTGTGTGCCTATGAATGCAGGAGTCGCTTAGGTGTCTGGTGGCGTCATTCCACAACTACCACTGGCGAAGAGAGAACGAAACAGCATTCAACGCCATGACGGTACGACTGCACTGCAGAATTGTGTCTGTGCGCACAGAGGGACGGGCACTTTGTCTGTCCGCACACAGGTGGTTTTGGAGTTCCTGCGCATAGCGAGAGAGAGCGTTGCCGACGGCAGATACCCAATCCTGCTCCGTAAGTGCACACCATTCAACACAGATACGAATCCTTCTGGAGATTCGTCTACACGTGTGTGCCTGCAGATGTGGACGCCAACATCAACTTGGCCAAGCCACCAGGCCGTGATCCCCTGCAGCATCCGCCCATGGACCAGACACCATGGAAACTCCACACGTATCAGGTATGCCCCCGCATGCCGTATACGCTTCATATCTGTGCTTGCGTGTCTACAAATGCCTTCATGCAATGCAGCCGTCTGCGCGCCGATTGTCCAAGTCGTGCATCGACTACTTCCTCTCCCTCAACCCGACTGCTGAGCGTGGTGGCTGTGTCATTGACGTGAAGGACGTGACGGCTGTCGACCTGAAGGAATGCATCATGAACGAGAGTGTGGTGCCTCCCGCAGCTTTGCAGGTGATGAGAGACCAGGTGGCGCTCTCATCGCGGTCCAAGGATGGGTCCACTGTTGACTTTTCGAGAGAGGCTCTTAGCGAGACGCTAGATCACGACCCCATTAGGTGTACTGTCGTGTTGTCTGAGCGGCCGCCTACGGCATGAATGTGGATAGGGAGGGATGCGTGAGAGGTGTCTGCAGTTGTGACGCAATGAGTTGCTTGCACGGAAACAAACCGGGATTTCACAAGTGCACTGCTGTCACACATCATCGTGCAACCTGCCTTGTCCTGAACTCGCGTACATCGTGTTTGTCATGTGTCCTTGTGTGTGTGTGTGTGTGTGTGTGTGTCTTGCGCAGACGGTGGTAGAGGGCAGCACGGTGGCCAGGGTGTACGAGATGTTCATCTGCCAGTGGGTCGGGACGCCCAACAAACGGCTTCGGCTGCTCTACCGGTATGCACATTCACCCCCAGCCCCCTCCACCTATCGCTAGCCTAATCTCACTCTCTACTTGTGTGTTCTCCGTTTAGCGCCACACGCGATGGCCCGACGTACGGCGATCTCCTTCGGTGCGTGGGCAGCACCAAGGGCCTGGTCTTCGTCGTGCGCAAGAACCAGTACATCTTCGGCGCCTACATCAGCGAGGGCATCAAGTTGCCGGATGCTCCGATGCTCTACAGCAGGTACGAGTGCGGCGGGTAGCAATTCTGCCTCAGCGGCAACTTTGACACGCCGACCAAGATAACCATTTCTCGACCGTACCTCGAGAGGTTGCCCGGAGGGACGGGGCAGCGGAGATTTGTGGGAACATCAGTATCAGGGGGCATATCTGTTCGCGCACCTGTGCCTGGGCCATGCCGAGACAGACATGGGTTTTTGTGCCGACATGCGCTGCTGCTGTGAGCCATCGATGTGCATGAACTGCCTGCGGGCTATCGGGGGTATGTGCACGAGCCAATCTCTTTCCCTGCACCGCTCGTTCTGGCAGCCGCATGAGCTTCCTGGCTGATGAGCTGGAAGTGCTCAGTGTGGTGTGAGCACCAGCAGCATGTGTGTGTGTGTGTGTGTGTGTGTTGAGAGGCTGCTGGTCGTCTCTCTCTTTAGCAGTGCACGTGGTGATTGATAATAGTCTGTAGTGCATCTATCTGCAGATGCATGGGTCATTGACATACGTGTCATTCACTGTCTTCCGTGCAAAAAAAAAGACGAAAACTTACAGAAGCTGAGAGCGCTTATGCTTATGGGCCGCAGGCGAGAATTCTCGTCGGGAGACAGAATTTACAATTCTATATATAAAACAAAACACCTGGTGCCGCGCCTTCAGTTTTTTCTCTTTCTGGCAGGTTTTCCTCGCGTCCCAGCCGCCTCATCGTCGCCCCTCCTCCCTTCCTGCAGGCGGCAGCAGCGGCAACCAACAGCCTCGCCACGTTTATCGGCCTGCCTGCTGCCAACGCGGCATCAGCCAGCTCGGCCAAGGCTCCATGTCTGACTGTCCACTGCATCGCTTCCTTGAATCCTTGTCGGTCGGTGTTTGTTTCAGAGGTAAGTGTGTCAGCGTGTGGCTCGTCGAAGGGACATGTGTGTGTGTGTGTGTGTGCCTGTCTTCCGTTGCACACACGTCCCATGGCCACGGGACAGGGAGAAGAAGCACTCCCGCCGAGAGACGGGGTGAGCGAAAAAAGGAGAAAAGAGATTCTTCACTTCTGCCTCCGTGTTTTGTCACATCAGGCCCTCCTCTTCGTGGTGCACACACAGGGGCATCTTCCACCGCCGGCCCTAGCGGGGCTGAGCTATTCGCCTGCGACATCAACCAGACGAATGTCGAGCCCGAGTCCACGGTAAGTGGGAAGAGAAACACGTCAGGATGTTTTTGAGCATCCCTGCAGGAGCCACCCAGCTAAGCCAGCTTTCGCTTCCGCGTCGGAAACAAACAGCAAACACTCCGTTGCACCCGGTCCGACGCCTCCTGACATGCGACGGCCAAGCGGTAGGCAAGACACGCGCCACCACACCCACACACATCAGATCATCACGACCAGTAATTTCCTGGCGCCTGTGCCTCGTGGATATCACCGAGCAGCTGACCCAACGGCTCTTTCCCTCAGTCTGTTTGTCTGACCGTCTGTCTCACTGTCTGTCTTCTACTCCAGCTTGCGCGGGCAAACAGCACAACGCTCGCCTTGCTTCTGCCCGCCGTCGAGCGAGACCTTGGCCTTCAATTCGGACCCCTGAGGTCCAAGATACACAACCATTTTCAAATCGGCATCAACAAAACCGCCCGCAAGGTGCTATTCATATCTGCACTCAGTAATTGTTTGCATATGGGGAATCACATGACTAAGTCACGATGGCTCCGCATGTCTCAAAAATGGTGCATCACATTTTCTGTCTGCACTGCAGATTGCGAGAGCAAACAATACAACTCCCGCCGTCGAGAGAGACCTCATCGCCGCCCTGCCCACCTCCCTTCCTACAGGCGCCATCCTGAGAAAATCACTGGCCGTGATGATGGTCACCGAATCGTACCAGGACACAGACAGATTGAGTCAATGTATTCATCACTTTATCTCAGACAGATAATATATTGATGGAATAAGTGTGAGGAAATGAAGAACGTCTGAGTGCCAGGCATGATGTGTGTGGCTTTGCAGGGCCGACAAACAGCGGAAAATACTGTGCGGCATCTACGATGTCATCATGCGGCGCGGCCACCCCTTCCTGCTGCCCATGCGCGCTGATGGAGACCCCCGCGCACTTCTGTATCGTCATGCCGCTGTGCACAGGGCCGGATCTCACCACCTGGCAAGCATGAACCCATGACCATTTCAGAGGATGACTGCAGGTATCATTGATAGAATCGGCTGGTGAGCCATAGACATTGCCTAGCCTGCGGTGTTTCTGTGTCTTTCGATATTTCCAGACGAATAATCAAGACTACGCTGACAGCCGTCTCTCACCTGCATCGGAATGGCGTAAGTGCGTAAGCACAGAAAGACACGTCAGCCGTCTGTTTGGTCAATCAGGTAATACATCGTGATGTGAAGACAGACAACATCATCTTTTTTGACGAGGGAGCGCACGACATCGCCTTATTCGACTACGATGCCTGCATCTTTGCCCATGATAAGGAGATGAAGACAGCGGGCATCGGCACTCCAAACTTCATGGTACATGCTCATCGATTGAGTGCCGATGATGGAGTCTTCTCTATCTGCATTTGCAGGCTCCCGAGGCGTATGACGGCGTTTACACGTCAGCGTGCGACCTCTTCTCTTGCGGATGTATTCTATTCTCGCTTTTACATGGGTATGAGGCATTTGATACCGCCGAAATGTCGCTGGAGGAGGCCAAGAAATCCATCCAAGAGGTACATGCATGTCTTCGTGTCTCCATGCGTCTGTGCCTCCTGCAAAGCCAGAAAGACACACACTTCTCTTTGCACTCATTCAGGGAGCCACAATCTCCCCAGAGGTCCATGAGAAGTCGCCAGCCGCCGTCGACCTATTGGAGAAACTTCTCAACGTTGACCCTGAGGAGCGACCGACTGGTGAGCCGTGCGGTATGTGATATTCATCCGATGGTTCCACTGTGTGACTCCAGCCATGGAAGCGCTCGACCATCCCTGGCTTCAAGATTGTCTTGTGCTGGATACCGTTACCGAACGGGACTTCTTCCGGAGTATGTGCTTTGTGCAAAGCAATACAATTATCGTAGGGAGGTTGTTGTTTGTGGCTTTGTTGTGAACAGGGGAATGCGATCGCCTTGTTTCGGACAGGATCAAGTACAGCTTTGCTCTGTGTCACCACCTCGAGGAGGCCAACGTAGGCGTTTGTGTTCCTGCTACGCACATGGATTTGCATTTTGTAATGGCTGATGATCAGGCGAAATGTCATCAGCTGGAAGACGAAGTAAGCCCACAGGTAAGACGAAGTGAGACAGGTACACACGACGTATGTCTCTTGCGTCTCCACTCGCCAGGTCATCGACGTTTCCAACCACCAAAAGTCGCGCTCGAGCGTAAGTGCAGTAGCGGGCAACCACGAGTGGCACATAGGTCGTGGCCTTGTCTGTATACGTTTTCAGGACGAGTCAAGTAGTTTGAAAACGTCGCATACAATCTCACCAAGCTGGTCGTCTGTCAGGATTTTGATCTGGATGCCGACGCGGAGTGGACACCTGGCGTATACACATTCCACCACGCCGAGCAGGAAGCTCTTCTTGCGGCGTATCAAGAGGCCAAGTGCATATTGATCGCCTCAACACATCCCAACGTTGTCAAGCTGGTCGGCGCCCGTATCGACTTGCTCGGCCGGCAGATTTTGATGGAATACGTAGAGGGGCAGAACTTGAGAGATCACGTCAATGGCAAAGGGGCTTTAGGGATGAAGCAGCTGACCTGTGAGAGGCTTGTGGATATCACCGAGCAGCTGACCCAACGGCTCTTTTCCTCAGTCTGTTTGTCTGACCGTCTGTCTCACTGTCTGTCTTCTACTCCAGGTTGCGCGGGCAAACAGCACAACGCTCGCCTTCCTTCTGCCCGCCGTCGAGCGAGACCTTGGCCTTCAATTCGGATCGCTGAGGTCCAAGAGCGCCCATTTTCAAATCGGCATCAACAAAACCGCCCGCAAGGTGCTGTTCTCAGTCATTGTTTGCTTGTGGGGAATCACATGACTAAGGCACGATGGCTCCGCATGTCTCAAAAATGGTGCATCACGTTTCCTGTTTGCACTGCAGATTGCGAGAGCAAACAACACAACTCTCGCCGTCCACCTTCCCGCCGTCGAGAGAGACCTCGGGCACATTTCTATATCGGCATTGGCCAAACGCCCACAAGGTACTCCACGTAAGAAAGCCAGCCAGCCAGACAGAATGGAAAAAAAGAGGGCACGCAGGCGAAAAGGCAACTATGGATCGATTGCTGCAGGCGAAGAGGTTTGGGATGCATACCGATCATGCATGTGAGCATGTCTGTTGTCAGGAGCTGGAGACACATGGGCGCGATGGCGATGCATCTGGGACCCGTCCTCGGAAGTGCAAAGCCCTCAAGTGCCAATGTGGCTGAGATGAAGAGGGCGACCGCTACATTGCTGCTTATATTTTATATTGGCGGAGACAAATATACACACGCCACCAGCCCTGGAAATATGCGATGCAGATGACGATCAGGTACATACAGAAAATTCCACAGAGAGATGGTGTCAGATCGGTGGCTGCATTTCACAGAATCACCGACTTGACAGCTCGCGCCTGAGCAGGGTCGAGGACCGCATGGGCGAGCATTTCGAGATGCTGGCTGATTACCCGATCCCAAGCACAGGATATCACGCGATACATCTCAGGACTTCGAGAGAAAGGCGACTACGGTGCTGGAGCGGCGATTACAAGGAGAAGCGCTCAGGAACATTCGCGTGGGCGACTTGTTGGACATGATCAAAAGTCGACTGCCGGGCAGCTCAGCCTCAAGTATGATAGCAGGAGAGCTCATGATGTCTCAGTGCTCATGTCTCTGTTTGCTCCTGTCTGTGTGGATCACTCCACTTCATTTACACACACGACACGTGCTTGTGGGTGCTGTGTACAGATCGTCCACGCGTCAAGTCAGTGTTCGCCAACATCAACGTCTAGAGCTGACGTTGACGTCTCTGACTCACTGCTGTGGCGTGAGGGACATTGCTGTCTACATTCTATATCTCGAGAGAGCTGCTTATGTGCATTACAGAGCCTTGATTTCATGTCTCCTTCCTGGCGCTTGACGTCAAGCGTCAGTGTTGGTTCGTGTGAGTGGATGGAAAGACATATACAGAACTGAAACCAGCTTGAAGGCGCATATGTAATGTCAACTGATTGTCACCAGCCATCTGCAAGTGCAAAGCACTCACCGCAAGAGGCAGAAATCATAGGCAGAAGTCACGCACGTGATGCTTGGCGTGGTTCCTGTACATCACACGTGCACAAACGTAGAGACGCCCAAAAAATGAGTGTGCTGGTCTATCTGCGTCCCTTACCCTCAGTATGGCATTGTCCTGGATCAACCTCCGACTTGCTTGAGGCTCCAAGGCAACATTCGGCAGCAGGCCTTTGTGTTTGTGAACTCAATGGATATGTAAGTGACTTCCATCACTTTGTGTCGACAAGTGGGGGGGAATACATTGACTCACAGTGCAGAGTCTGTCGGTCTCATGAAATGAACTGCGTCAATCGACCAACCCTCAATCATACGACAAACACGCCAGCACCATCCTCAGCGCCCGCCTGGCGTATCTTCCAGCGGCGCCGCCCACTACGCAACAGACAAGCAATGCCCTAAGCGAATCGACAACTTCGAGTCACTCACATGTTTTGTACAGAGATCACTCTGACCTGCTCTGACCGATACACGACTACCTCCACACCCGACATAAACCCATGCACTATCACCCCGTCATACCCCTCAGCCGCCAGCGACTCGTAAGTCACGTTGGGGGAGTTTGCCCGATAGACGTGCTTGGGCCTGCTCATAAAGATCTCCGCCGTCACCATGCAGCCGTGGTTGTGGGCCTTGCGCTGAGTCTCGTTTGGCCGGATGGCGAAGTAGATGCCGCGCCCAGCGGCCCCCGACGAGCTGGGCCGCATCACGCGCGACTGGCTGATCTGCTGGCCGTGCGCTGAAGAGGTCTGATGATAGCCGACACAGCGGCCAGAGGTGCAGAGTGCTTGCAGGACGGGACAGTTCATGGCGCAGTGGTCGCTGTCCTTGGTATGGCAAACTCGGCAGTAATGCTTAGCGTGGTTCTGACACAACGCACAAAGCACATGAGGGCGGTGTGGTGCCGTTGTGGTCATCTGTCTGCACACATGCGTACCTTGGTGCAACCGGCAGCCTATCAGAGACGCACACACACACACACACACACACGTGTGGCCCGATGGTAGAGTGTGTGTTGTGCGCTGATCTATCCGTCAGATCCCTCACCTTGCAACGTGGCATTACACACTACACTCCTGTCATCCTACACAGCTAGGAATGCCGTCCTGTGGACTCGCGACCACATAGGCTCAAAGGTAGGGATATCGGATGGCTTCGGGATCCGCTAAACTCAGCCGCATATTCTCACTCAGCCATATCGAGCCTGACGAATCGGGAATGGCCGCCGAGGTCCCGCCACCACTGCATCGACACCACACGGCCGCCGAAGTCGCCCGAGCCGTCCCTCTTGGCGACCGCCCCTTGCAGCACCTCTGGATGGGACGAGTCAGTCTCCAACCACACCTGCAGCAAAAAGGTAAACAGAGAGTGACAGCAGGCAGGTGCTGGGCTGCAGAGGGCCTTATCACCTGCCGCATGCCGCCCTGGCCGTGTGGCTTGAGAAAGGCGGCCATTCTGCTTGCCAGTGATCGGATGAAAAACATGCCATCGGCGCCGCCGTCAAGGGCGCCGCTGTCCTCATAATCCCTGACCACATAAACAGTGACGCACAGCCATCCACAGTATCTGTTTGATGGCCTTTTGCTGTGTGGGCTGACCTGACTTCTGGCTGGAGTGTCGGGATCTCAGCCGTCGGGATATAGGGAGGATTGCTGCACACACCCCCAATCAAATGCGCTATGGATCGCCAACAATGCCCTTTTTCTCCTCACCTGACGATCAGATCATAGCGCTCGTCGTCTGGCGGCTCGAATGTCAGCATGTCGGCCTGCAGGCACTTGTAGCGATCGGCCAGGGACAAAGTGGCCGCATTCGCCGAAGCAAGCCGAACTGCATGTGGGCTCAGATCAATCGCTGTGCACCTGAAACGATGCACGAATGACACACAGGGGAACAATTAGACGGCCATCACCTCTCTCTCTCTCTCTCTCTCGTTCACACACCTCGCTGTCGGCAATTGTTTGAGCAGCGCCAGGCCAATGGCGCCCGTGCCGGCCCCTACATCCAGCAAGTGAAGGGCCCTCTCGCCCCTCACCGACCGCCGCACCTCTTCCAGAATTAGCTCAACCAACTCCTCCGTCTCGGGCCTGCACACACAGAAAGATCAGCGTCCATCATAGCCTCTCTCTGCCTGTGTGTGCTTCATGTGTACCGTGGGATGAGCACCGGCGGTTCACACTTGACGGAGATATGGTGGAAGTCCCACCGCCCCACCACATACTGCACAGGCATCCGCCGCAGCCGCTTGGCGCATAGCGAATCGAACAGCCGCCGCTGCTCCTCAGTTAGGGCCGTCCGCACCAACCTCTTGGGCAGATTGAGTGTGTCGGATGACAGCACGTGGGCCATCAGACACCTGGCCGACACGTCGGGCTCCGATATGCCGGCAGAAGCGAACCTCTCTGATGCTGCCGTCATGAGTGCATCAACTGAAACACCATTCTTGTGGTCAAAGGCGGACAGCGGTGGGTGTTGTGAGCGATGGCGTCGTCCTGCGAGGATGAAGCGCCTCTGCATCTTCCGGCTGGCGGCACCGATTTCATGATAGATGAAGAGAGCACCGATGATGGATGGGCACTGCCAGGGAAAATGCGCGAGGCTGAAGTGGAGTGTCATCAAGGCTGCCGAGGGGTAGATCCTTGGCCTTCGTGCGACGAGATCTTCCCTGCGAGCTTGGCATGCGGGAGAGGATGCCTGAAGATCTTTGAACGCGTAGTGTTACTGCTCCTGTGTCCTGCCTTCCCTTCTCGAATCCCGATCTGAGTCTGACGGCCTTCTCGTTCCGTTTTCTGCAATCTCGTTCCGTTCTTTTATGCGTGATGATGACGTGCTGTGATGTGATGAATTGATGCACGAGGAGGGCGGCCCACACGCAAACAAACACACTGTTGTACACCTCTCTCATGGCCTTCGTTTTTTTCTTGTGATCTTCAGGCTCAAATGGTCCGCTCTGAGGGAGTTGTGGTCCTCGCCGGCGCCTCGATGGAGGCAATGGATGCTGGGCCGCTTTGGTGCCATGAGTGTGGGTTCTTCTCTCTGTGCAAGTGCCTCGATGTAGGTGGCAGAGATGACACTCCGTCTGGCCGGCTGCTCGACGGAGGCGCCGCATCACTCGAATGAAATCGCTAAGCCAGACGAACACACGGGTTTCGTCGTTGTACTTACTGTCATTTCCTCAGGTACGAGGCCGAATTGGGCAAACAGATGTGAGCAAACAACACAAGCAACGAACACAAACGAACGAAGACGCGAAAACGCTATCGAACGATATACGCTTACGAACGATACGAACGAACGAACGAACGAATGGCGTCCTTCTGAGCACAAGTGAGAAAGAAGAAAATCACCCCATGTGACGTTTTGATTGATCCATCGAGTGTCATGTTGCAGGGCCTCGTTGGAGGTGGTGGTCGGGGGGAGCCTGAGCGACGGTCGTCTCGATTGACGGTATCTCTCTCAGTACAAGTAAGAAACAAAAATCCTCACGTAAGCGAGCGTCTTTATCTTATCTCTGTGTTGTTCTTTTCTGTATTTTTCAGTCGCCTCGAAGGAGGTGGTGCTGGGAGTGCTACGACAAAGCACACAAAGACGAAAGGGACGAAGTCTCTCTAAGCAAGTAAGCGACAACCAAATGGCTGGCGAGCCTACACACACGTGTGATCCCAATGTCATTTCAGTCCCTCGATGGAGGGCGCTTTCGGGGACGCAATACGCGATCGTCAGAGGCATGAGAACGAACGATACTCGAACGATGAGTAGCCTCTGAGCACAAGTAAGGGAGAGCACGTTCTTCCGCTCTCCAGGAAGGCCCATCCATCGCGTGTGATGGATTGTAGGGCCTCGAAGGAGGCAGTGCTGAAGGGGCGCAGGGCTCGATTGAGAACGATGCGAATCGGTTTTGTTCTGCCAAGCCAGGTAAGAGGACAGGAATGCCTGACGTTCAACTCAACGAGTCGGACCGATCTCTTGTGGGTGTTTCAGGGCCTCGATGGAGGTCGCTTGGCAGGACTGTGGTGAGAAGAGCCTGCCTCTTCGCTTGTCGGTCGATTTGATTGGGTCCACCACGTCACTTTCCTCCGCCGTTCTCGATTGAGAATTGGAGGAGAGGGGCGCTGGTTGGAAGGCCTGCCTTCCTGCAAGGTGAGCTACACAGGGAGGGGTTTCATGCTGGTGTGTGATGGGTGTGGGCCGCCCTCCTCGGCAAATCACAATGTCCTTGTCTGTCGTGACGGTATGGGCTTTACATGAGACCGTTGCATTATGCTGCCCACTTGTCGTCTTCGTCGACAATGTGAAGGATGTGCGTGGGGCATTGCTGTATTGTGTGCATGACCTCCTTTCTCCTTCTTACCTTTCCTTACTGTTACGCACACATACTCTGATTGGTGCACGTGCACGGTAGACCATCGTGTTGGCAATTTTGCTGGCTTTGCTGTTTTGTGGCTCATGCATGAACAGGCTGTGCATGTGTGCTTGACGCAATGCTGCGCGTGTTCGGAAACATGATTTCAATCGATAATCATGCCGCAAAATCTGCGAGCTTGGCGTGCAGAAGAAGGCCAGCAGTTGTCGATTGTATTAGGCGGGACAGAGCCGCTGCTGCACAATGTCGTTTCTCGCCCGTTCATTTCTGGAAGATCCTCCCCTGGAAGTGCGAGGCCATGCCTTCTCCGCGTCGCCCACTGACCAGCACACCACAAGAACTAGGCCAAGTGCCGGTCCAGGCCTCACAAATGACCAATTTAACGTACACACAACAAAGATCAGATGAGCAGATGAGCGCTCGCGTGAGTGTCCGCTTGTCACAGGTCGGAACCATCACGCCTTTTCTTTACGACGAGAGGCAGAGGGGCAGCGCCAACAAGAGCCACACCACGGTCGCTGCTGACATAGAGGGCCTTTTCGATGTCAAGACGACAATGGTGCCTGTCTGGTAGGAAAGGAGGGGCACGGTCAAAGCCATCCACACTCATTGGTATCACTCTGTGCAGCCGTCGTGTGCTGCGGCGGCCCGAAGATGCGCCGTTTTTCGGCCCGATTCCTCCCCCAGACATGGGCGATGACACGCCGGAGGGAAGCGCGCGCATCATTGCCTTCCTCTACAAGATGTTCCACCCGTTTGATGAAAGGTATGAGAAGGGAGAATCTAAATGGCGAGCGGTGGTCGATTGTCTGGTCCTTGTCGCGTGTTGCAGGCCTCATCCGTCGGCCATACTCGGGCCCTATCTGGTCAGGGTGGGCGCGGTGCAGTGGAAACACAGGCCCAGGTGCGCAGCCAGCCAGCGACAATGGCGTCACTGATCAGCCTATGGTGGTGTTTGGACAGGTGGAAGGAGGAGGATTTGGCGCATCCTATCGGCCGCCTTGTGCGGTCCCATCTTGTGGAGCGCGGCATCCATCCCCCGCTCCACCTCTACGTGCCGCCCGACAGCGCCCACAACGCCAATATCGCCCTCTCCCCCTATCGCATTCTCACACCCAAGGACGCCAAGCCCGAGCAAATCAACTGTGCCAGAAGCGGCCATCTTCTCATCAAGATGAACAACACGGACGCCCTTGTTCTCGGCGGGTTCACCCCTGACGCTCTTGACATGACCCCGGTGTCGGACGAGGCGCCTCCTGCCCCTCCAGCTGTCCCAACTGCGTCGTGCAATGCGCCGACGAGGAGCCAGGCGGCCACGGGGAGGCGGAAGGAGCAAGTGCTGGATCCAGCTGTGCTGCTGCGGGTGGGGCAGTTCGTCAACCGCAGCGGCTTCAATCCCAGGAACGAGCCCATCGTCTTTCTGCGGCCCCTGGACGTCCACACGTCGTCCCACTCAGCCCCCGAGCCATCACTTCGCCGGTCGTTTGCGACGGGCACCTACTTCAACGGCTCGGTTTTCGCCTATGGCGGCAAGGACGCATCCGACCAGCTGACCAACTCATTGCTGGTGTACAAGCCCATCGGCATGCCGCACTGGTCCGTCCAGCCGGGCCCAAATGGGCAGCTGGACCGGCCGACCGACGTGCATGAAGAGACGCACGGGAGTGACGAGCTGCTGTACCAGAGTGGCCTGAAGGATGGAGTGGCCGGTGAGTGGGCTGTGTTTGACGTGAGTGAGAGCGGCAGGGTGGGCGGGTCTGGACCTGGGGCGAGATGTGAGGCTCTTGGCTGTCGCATTGGGCCCCTGTGGATCATCTACTCTGGTTAGTTGAAGGAAACGGGGACACATGGGCACTCACAAGTATTGGCTTGTTCTTGTTTGGTCGGGCTTCCGCGTCGTCAGGTCGCAAGAAGGGCGATAAGGTCGCTAACGACATGTTTTGCATCAACCTACTCACTCTGCAGTGGTAGAGATCACGCCGCAGAAAGGTCGCCACGGTTACACATTCCATGATCCTTCCAGGTCATCCGTGGGCATTGAGGGCCTCATTCCCAGCCCGCCCAAACTCCACCACGTCGGCGCTTACCGAATTGGCCCATATGTCGTCTTCGGCGGTCAGAGCGACATAGACAGCCCTCCCAAGTACAACTCCAAGGACCCCCATCCCTGGTCGTGTGGGCCGGCATTCGAGCTGGCGATGAGGGGTCACGAGTGTGTGGCGCGCAACGTGTGGAGCTACAAGGCTGTGAGCAGAGTCAGCGGGCAGGATCTGTTTCCCGCCGATGATCGGTGGGTCGCGCAGCAGTGCGTGCAGGGCATGACACATGTCGTCGGTAGGGGAGCGAGCCACCGCAAGCAAGACACAGATGCACCTGCGGCAACCAGGTCACTGCCTCATCCTTCCCTCCTTCAGATGAGTGCTTCCTGACGCTCGAGTACAGACCGTTCTCCATCCTCCACCCCAACCCGCCTGAGTGGTCTTCGCATTCGCAGCTGTACCGGGAGGACACCGTGCCGACAGTGCCTGTGGCGTCACCCCTGGACATGGACTGGGATGCAGATGGGTCAACGAGGCGAGTCGGGGTCAGGCCATGTGTGCCGCTGCTGTCATACTCGCAGGGTGAGTGAAGGATGGGGGGCGCAGACGCACTTCTGCAGTATATAGTGGTGCCTTTCCTGTTTGCGGTCTGTAGGCAGCCCCCACTTGACAGGCGCCTTGGTGACATTCCATCGGGGCACTGACCCAAAAGTGAGTGAGAGAGTCAGCGAGCGCCACAAAACGGCTCACTGCACCTTTGCGGCATCATCATTCTCCTGTCTGCAGGATTTCCGAGGCGTTCTCAGTTCGCATGAGCTGCCGTGTGAGAGCCTGTGGACGTCACAGCTTTTCGAGCCGCCAGTGCCGTTCAACTACCCCCCTGCCTTCTTCCTGCTCGAAATGCAAAGGTGAATAAATACGATGCTGGAGAAACGCCCTGATTGACGCACCCACACAAGTGGTCTGTCCGCCTGTGTCATGCAGGTTGTTTGATCGAGGCTACTGCGCCGACTATGTGCTTCACGTCGACAAGGGTGACGACGGCGTCCACCTCCACCGGTTTCTCCTCCCCTCTTCGCTCGCCACCCAGCTCGACTCAGTCTGCCAGCCGTCATCCAACTCGCCGCAGCCCGTCCTGCTCTCATCCCTGCTTCAGGGCACCCCCATCCCTCCCGCCCCACCGTCTGTCGACCGGCTCGCGTGCCTCCGGTCTGTGTGCCAGTACCTTTACACCGGCCACTTTGGTCGGATGGAGTGGTGGGCGAAGCTGCCCCGGCTGCTGTCCACCGGCCCTGCTGATGGGGAGGGCAGGAGCGACACGCAATTCGGGATGCTCTTTGACATGCGGGGCGATCCTGGGGAGGGCATGATGACACAGGAGTGTGTGGGCGAGATGGCGAGGCTGGCGGGGTGTCTGGCCCTTGAAGGTGCTGGCGACGCGCTGAAAGGGGTGGTGGTGACGGGCAGCGGGTGTGCGGCTGGGGCACATGATTCACATGGAGGTCCGTTTGAGGAAGAGAGACAGGACAGGACAGCGTGATAGCACTTGGAGCGCCTGTGTGCAGTGATGCGTCGAATGTGGGAGCTCCACCGAACTCAGAAGAAATCCGACATCACCATAAAGGTGTGAGGAACTGCGCCATGATTTCGTCGCCGCCTCACGGTCCGCTCGTCCCCCTCTGTGTGCAGGTTGAGTCGTGTGAGTTCGAGTGTCATCGGGCCGTGTTGTCTTGCCGCAGTCTCTACTTCAACAACATGTTCACTTTGGGATTCAGTGAGGCCACCGGAGCCCCAGACGACTGCCCCACAGAGTCGCCCACCAATGGCGGTGAGTAGACACTCGGGGAGGGAGCGAGGGAGGGAGGGTCGGAGGGAGGGAGCGATAGAGGGATGGGCACACACATGTCGTCTTGGTGCAGACCCCTCTGAGTTCCGCCCGGCGAGTGAGCTGTTCTTGCAGGAGCATGACGATCTTGCGTCGAGGAGAGGTGTCAGCGGCGCCTCTTCTGTGCCGCCCTCGTCGGTCACTCTCCAAAGCATCAGGTGGATTTAAAGATGGCACGATCCCAAATGGTCTGCAGCACTTTGTTGTACGGTCTGTCGATTCAGTGCGGATGTGTTCGAGCATGTGGTCGCTTTCGCTTACGACCCGCTCCACGGCCCAAACATCCCACCAGCAATGCTCTCGCAGGTGTTTCAGTCGTATGCTATCATGCACCCGTGCGTATGGCAACACTCGACTGATGTATTGGCCGCCTGGTGTAGGTATTGGAGCTGAGTCGCTTTCTGGGCATGCCGTCTCTCCAGCGGCTGTGCGAACAGCGCCTCATACAACACATCAACGTCAAAACTGTCATACAGGTATGCACCACACACATACCCAGACAGCCAAGAGGCCCATTCGCGCTGGTTCCCTCTTGTCAGATCTTCCATTTCGCCATCGAGATGCGGTGCGCCTTTCTGCTCTACTTCACGTTGCGCTTCCTGCGAGTCTTCCCTCTCCCGCACAAAGTCAAGACCAGCCCAAGCCTTTGGGAGCACCTGCCCGACGCGGCCCTGCACCACCTCTCCCACTGGTTTGGAGTCGACCTCGTCATGCTGCGCGACAAGAGACGCGCCAAAGACAGTGGCGAGCCGCGTGACCGTTCTCCTGCCCCTCCTGCTGCTGATGGCGAGCAGACGGCAGAGGCCAAGCCTGCTGATGGCGAGAAGAAGGGTGACGAGAAGAAGGGCAAGGGCAAGCGGAAGACAGCCAAGGAGAGGAGGGAGGAGGAGAGGACGGCCAGGCAGCGCGCCAAGAAGGAGAGGGAGACGGCCTACCTCAAGGACCGATTTCGGCGCGTGACGGACATCCTGTGGATGGAGAGGGACGTGCGGGTGCTCTTCCAGGTCCTCACACACGCATACTTCGGGTATCGCGAGAAGGGCGACCCTGGGGTGAGGTACGGCACGGAGGGGGCGAGGATTGGTGGTCTCACTGCGACGGACGAGGACGAGCCGGACCCATTCGATGAGTACATGGACCGGATGGCTACTGAATGGGACTACACCTACCGCCCTGACCTCGGTGGGCAGCTGGACACCTACCGGTTTAGGGATTCAGTAGGTCATTTGTGTGCTGTGTGTTTGTTGCAGATGCGGAGTTCCGGCTGTACTATCGCACCTTGGCCCAGGAGAGTGACCTCCGCTTTCTCCACCCTCCATCGTCTCCCAAATCCCTCTCGGCGTCACCCGTCACGCGATCAGGTCGCCAAGACAGAGCCACCACAGCATACTGTGTTTTTATTCTGCTCGTGGATCCGTCTCTGTTTGGTGTAGGTTCGGATTTGTGTGTGGATGGGCGCGGTGTGTCGTCAGGTTTAGGTCGTCAGATATCTGAGCTGATCCGTGACATGCGACACAAGAACCCATTCGACGTGCTCAAAGAGGAGATGCATGACAATGGTGACGACGATGATGATGCGTGTGAGAGTGACGAAGAGTGTGAGCAAGATAAGTTGACATAGGCCATATGTACGTGCGTCGTCAGGCAGGTTTGGTCAAGTCATGTGATGATTGATTGCATGCGATACGACATAGAGGTGTCCTCAATTCATTGTTCGCCCCATGCACACTGACTTCACTTCAAACTGCCCCGTCCCCCACCCCTGCCCTCGCCGTACACGGCGACCAAAAAAGGCGGACACACGCACGCGCACACGCACACAAGCGGAAGAGAGCGACGAGAGGGGGCGGTCGCTCATCCCCTCTTCATCGGCTGGTTGGGCTGGTTCTCGCGATTGGAAGGCTTGGCCCACTCGACCTGACATAATGAAACCCAGCAGAAGGCGACGTTGCAGAGGTACGTAAGATTGCCATCCGCACACACAGGAATGCTCACGTTCAGGATGAGGTGGTCATATCCATGTCCATTGAGCCGCTTGATTGCCGCAGCCGCATCGTCCCGCCGCGCGTAGGTCACGAAGGCGAAGCCCTTGGACTGTCGGCTGTCCTTCTGTTTGGCGAGGAAGATGCGGGAGACCTTGCCGATGGAGCCGAAGAGCTCGCCGAGGTCGGCCTCGCGGACATCCTCACTCAGGTTGGTCACACGCACGGTGCACTCCTCCTTCTGCTGCTGCTCCTGCACACACAATTATACACAGAACACAGACAATGGATAAACACATGTGTTGGGCGAGGGTGGTGTGTATGTGTGTGTGCGGCTGACCAGCTGCCTTGCGCCAGCCCTCTGAGAGGGCGGGACGTATTTGCCGGGTTTGCTGGGGTCGCGAGCGGCCTGCTGGGGGCCGGTGGGGTCCTTGACGTCCACCTTGTCAACGACCTCATCCTGCACACACAGACCAGACATGATGGATGGGATGAGAATCGGTGTCGGCAAAGCTTCACTCACACGAGTGCTGACCTTTTTCTCTTCCTCGTCTTCCTTCTTCCTATATTTGGCCCAGATGTTCTGCTTGGGCTGCAGGTCGAACGCATACCAATCGTCGTCACCCTCCTTCTCTGCACATGCATGCGCACACAGAGACCGGTCAACGGCGCGCTGTGGTGGTGTCGCGGCGCATCGTGTCTGACCCTGCATGATGGCCATGTATGCGTTGTTCTGGGGCATCTCGATCTGCAGGTCCTCGTGGTGCGGCACGGTCGTGCTGTCGTCCTCCTGCATACACGTACAAGCAATTTGAGCATCTTCTTGCCAGCGTGTGTCTGTGCCTACCCCTCCGGCAAGCGCTCCGAATCTGACGAGGTCCTTACGCGCCTCGACGTTCTTGTTTAGGCGGTAGCGACGCACTCCAGAACGGATGCGCTTCGTGATCTGAATCAACACACCAAGGAACAGCATCATGCCTTGGCCAGCCATCCGTCTTCCGGTGCTTTGCCGACCTTGAGTGTCTGGCCCCGGTCATTCACCTCATAGTATGTCACCGTGCGGATACCTGCACACACACCATCAGACACACACACACGTCCATGTCAGGTCTCCATGTGCATGTCTGCTGTCTGTCTGTCTGTCTGTCCTTGCAGACTGCATACCGTTCTCGTCAGGCGCAGACTCGAATCGTTCGTTGCGGTGGTCGCCTCCCCTTAGCAGGATGGGCTCGTCATCGGCCTCATCGGCCCACGCGCGGCGCTCAACTGAACAGGCACACACACACACACACGCACACACACGTGGGAAGACGAACAATCCGATGTGTCCATGTCTTGAGACAGACATTGCGCTGCAAGCGTCAGCCTGTGGGTGATGTCGTGTCTTCCCTTATCTGCCTCATTACCCCTGCCTCGCCCTGTCCTCTCCCCTGGTGCGTCATCGCTCACCTGCTGCTGCCATTGTCGTCGAAGCTTCTCAAAGATTTCGCTTCTTGCTGCCCTCCAACACGCCTGCAGGCCTCTGTGACTTCCAGTCAGCCCCGGACTTTTGTGCGAGCTTGAGTGCGAGCTTCCTCGAGCAGGGAAAGGAGGAGGAGGGACAAAGGATTAGAAGGAGCGTCTACGTTTCTTGCTGCTCGTAGCTGTTCGTCCCATGGTGTGCGAGAAGTGTCAGAAGAAGCTCTCGAAGCTCGTGACGCCCGACGCGTGGAGGGACGGGGCACGCAACACCACCGGAGGAGCAGGTGGGTCGGTCGCGACACAAGCGGACAGGGAATGCCATCGTTCATCGTCTCATCTTTCGTCGCTCCGTGTCTTGTGTTTCGCCAGATGGTGGGAGGAAGGTGGGAGGCAATGTTTTGACGGACAAGAAGTCCAAATTCAGGTTAGTCCATACTCGCAACTGAGAAGGAGACTCAGTTTAATCAAGATGGTTGTGTGTGTCGGTGTGTCTGTGCGGTCAGGGCAAGTCCGTATGGCTTGGCTGCTGGCCACTGTAAGCTGTGCAAGTCGTCATTACACCAGGCCGGCGTCTACTGCAGCGACTGGTGAGTACCGGCACTCACTGACAGACAATGACAGCACGACCGACAACAGAATCGTGTGGTCCTGTGTGTGTCCGTGTCTGTGTATGTGTGGTTCTGCAGTGCCCATAAGAAGGGGCGGTGTGCGATGTGCGGCAAGAAGATGGTGGACGTGTCCTCCCACAACATGGCCCTCACATGACGATCGGACGCTGCGAATGGTGGCGCGGCGTCATATCGTGACGGGTGAGCTACCAGCGCAGCAGCGTTGCTCTGGAGGCGGAATGGCTGACATATCTTTCTTTGGTGTGTCTGCTGGTGCGGTTTGTCTTCAGGTAGCTTTCCTCTTTCTCTTTGCTCTTTCTTTATCGCACCTCTGTTGCCGACTCCCTCCCTGGGTGTGAAGCGTACCATTCTGTATGCTATGTGCTCGTCTTTCTGCAGCGATATGATTGAGCACCGCTGATTGACATCGTGTTCACACCCACATCTCACCTGCTGATGTGAGCGGGAATATGATGTGTTGAGCGATGGTCAAATGTTGCCGCAATGGGCGTGCGAGTGTATATGCTGTTGGCTGGACGAGGCTATCTGCGTCTTTTTGTGTGTGATGGCCGGATGGCCGCACAGTGCATGCGACAGACCAATGTGTGTACAGCCCTGACGGATTCATGATATTGCATTCACGTGTGCAGAGAGAGGCTCTTGCATCAATACGTACAACCACCAACTCAACGTTGGTTTGTCGACGGTCGGTCTCCATTGCAGGGTTCGGTCTGCAGGGTTCGGTGCTGGGTTTGGGTTATAGGGCACTCAAACCCGTCACCAGCGCCGGTTTCGCCATCACTCCCTTTCCCCTTTCCGCCTCCCCACCAGGGGCTTAGAGGCTATCTATCCTTCGCTGATGCCACCATTACGCGCCCTTCTTCCAATCTCGGCGGATGGTTCGCCGCCCATCTCATGAACCGTTCTCCAGGCAGCTTCACAGAGCCTGCCGACACACTGGACAGCACAGGTTATCCCTTTCCGCCTTTCCCGTCACCCTCTTCTGCTGCTGGTCGTCGCGTCAGACCAGCGGCTGACAGAACAAGCGCCGAGAGCGGCAGTCCTCCACTGGCTGCTTCACATGGCGGGCATATGGTGAGCACAGCGATAGAAGTGACCACGATGAGTGGCTGTGCAATTGTTGATGCTTGTGTTGATGTCTGTTGTGAATGGCTCAGGAACGAGGAAAGAAGCGGAGTTTGGGTCCTCTCGACGAGGCAATGGTCGAGACGCGCTCAGACAAGAGGAGGAGGTGGACGCCCGACATTGAGCCGCCATCCAGCAGTGGAAGCGGTGACGACGAAATCCTCTCGGGGTCAGTAACGAGGCGGGACGATCATCTGGACTGAACTGCAGCCAGAGATCACTGTCTGTGACATTTCAGGTCCACAGCGCCTCCATCTGAGTCGGCTCCTCTGCTCTTCGGCCCCTCCCCTCCCCCTCCCCCGCCCTCCAGCGCCCACAGGCAGCCATCTCCACCTCTCCCCTCACGCCATCTGTTCGAGCCCCCAGTGACGCACCCCTCTGTGCCGCCGTTCCCCTTCAACAGCCACGGCGATGCCAACAAGAAGTGGCCTCACCGGCCCCCATCGCCTCCTCCCCTCTCGAGCGGATCGTTCTCGTGCGTCAATCCCCCTGTTCTGGAGGGGCAGCACGACACTGGCGGCCCCATGTTGTCCCGCTATCGGTCGGAGGACCACCATGCGAGCGCTAAGCACGCCAGCGGAGCGCCGCGGCCACTGGTCCAACAGCAGGCTGATGTTGAGATGCGGCCATCAACGCCGGCCATCCCGCTCCCCTCCCCCCGGCCGTCCCGCTCGACGTCATCGTCCGGCTCGTCGTCGGGTGCGTCGCCCCAGTTTCGCGGCATGTCGTTGAATCCGCCGCCCGGTCGGCTGCTAGAGCTCGGAGAGAGGGAGGCGGGCCGAGGGGTACGGCACTTCTCGCATGCCGCCTCCATGGGTGGTGTGAGCGGCGCCATGACGCAAGAAGAGGTGAGAGAGATGAACGAGGCGACTCTCTTTATTGAGGGACTGCAAATCACGCTTTTGTTGGTTCCTCTATCCGTGTTGAGCAGATTCTGCGCGTGCGGCGGGCGCGTAAACGGCCCCGCAAGCACACCCCTCCCCCGTCCCACCTGGTCCCCCACCTCCCCCACCGTCGCGTACAGGCCACTTCGAGCGCCGCTGCCGGGCCGCCCCAGCCGGCCGGTCGGCTGCCGTGCATCCCCGAGTTGGACGAGAACGAGGAGGAAGGCAACAACGACACACCGCCAGCTGAGAGGAATGCTGGCGGTGAGAGCGAAGAGAGGCGGGCGGATGGGGATAGCCACGGCCACGGTCACGGTCACGGGCAAGGAAGCGAGGAGTGCGGGTGTCACCGTGGTGGTCAGCCTGGGACTGGCAGATGTCCAATGGAGCTGTCGCCAGTCGTGCAGTCGCCCACCGCAGCATCGGCACCCCATCCCCACCCCCCTGCATAACGATGAACAAGATTACATACATGGCCTCTTTTGCGTTCGAGGGGTGTGCCGTAGCTACTCTCTCTATCGCTGATGTCAGTGGCTGAGCGAGTGAGTGGAGCGATTTTTCGCGTCATGCATCCTGCAGATGGGTGGCTGTATGAGATATCTATCGCTCGGGCTGGGGGGGGAGGGGGTATGCAGAGGAGCGTTCGTACAGTGGATATGCAGACAGCCAGATAGACAGGCGAGTGCTGCTTGCTCCCATGTGGTGTGGGAGCAAGTGGTGCGAGGCTGTTCATGTTGGTCAGATTGGCCAAAGCGCTCAAAGAGCCAAATGGCACACGTGTACCCATCCATACACACATGCATGCTGTACAGATACCCATACATCCTTCCACACAGCGAGAGACGAGAGAGAGAGAGAGAGAGCTCTGAACTGATGTGGCAGGAGTAGCCAAACAGGCAGAGAGGAGAGGAGAGGATGATGAGTGCAGTCGGTGCGTACAGATGTAGTCGGCGGCTGCTGACTGGCTGGCAGCATGGGTGCACTTACTCTGTGGTTGCTGACGTGTACGTCACAGCGACAAAGATGATTTTTGAGATACGTGAACATGTATGCGTGGACAGAAACATGCTCCACGAGTGTCAGCTGCTGAATGAGTGGGTCATTCTCGATAATACGAACATGAACACACGCTGCGATCAACACCACCCACTGCCACCAGCAATGTCCGCCTGGCTGTGTTGCTCGCCACTCGCTCACTCATTAAGTGCCTGTCTCGCCTGGACTTTCTGGCCTTCTTAAACCGGCTCTTGCGCACCTCGCACCACCCATCGCCGCCCACACGCACCATCCCCTCCTGCCCTTCCTTCTCCTTCTGTGTGGTGGACGTGATGGACATGGCACTGTCACTCGACGTCGAACTGAGCTGCGACAGACTCTCATCAGCGTCACGCGACTGAGGCACACCCACGCACACGCACCCCAACACCAACAGATGAAGAGACGGATGGCTCTGTGCGTGTGCCGTGCATCGTGTGTGTGGACCTCATCCAGGTGCGATGCGGGGACGTCGTGCAGCTTGCGCTTGGGGGAGGCCGACAACCTGAGCAGACACGATCGGATGGATGGCCCCACAAAGAATGGCGGTGTTGTCTGTCGTCCACCTACGTGCGTGGCCGGTCTTTGGTGTCGGTATAGGATGTGGTGTTTGGGCTGGTGGAGGTGGAGGTGGGAGGAGGGTCCTGCTCGTGACAACCGATAGCCGAGTACTGCGACACACACGCAGCCTCGTAGTCGTAATCGTCGAGGACAAGGTCTTCCTGACGTCGCAGGCATTGTACGGAAGAGAGAGAGACGCTCGTCCGTCTTTGTGATAATCTGCGTACTTGTGTGTCGTTGGTTGGCTGTATGTGAGTGTGTGTTGCATCGTCCGTGTCGCCGATCATGCTCAACAGCCGATGAATCGCGCGGCTCGTGTAGGGATCCTCCACCGCGCGACCCGACGCCTCAAACGCACACACAGTAGTCTGAAACACAGAACAACCCGCCACACCACACCACACACAGTCGTGTGCATACCATGCTTATGTCTCCTTTGGCTGTGTGCTGACCTGCCGATCGATGTCAGCCTCGCCACTGTCGTCTTGCTCATCATCCCGTTCCAGGGTGATGATGGATCTCGACGTCTCGTCGCTGCGCACCAGAACCACACTGCATCCACAAAGACACACAAATGACAAATGGGGGTGAGGTCTCGAGATGTGTGTGTCGTGTGCCTTTGTGTGTATACGTGTCGTCTTTGGATAGATCCATGGTCCATGAGGTGCCGTCGTCGCATGTCAGCAGATCATCGAAGCTCCTCAGACACAAACAGACTTGCTGCAGGAAATCCATCCATCCATCCATCCATTCATCCATGCGGTCGGTGTGTCTTGGAGTGTGGTGTCGGCTGACCGAGTGCATGATATCGAGTGTGGGCTCGATGCCCTCCATCCCCTCACGCATACGATAGTCGTGGATGAAACGAACCTGACGCAGGCTCACAGAGACACAGGTAAGCTGCCGCAAGTGTGTGTTTGCGTGTGTGTACTTTGACGATGTCTGGCACGGCGGATCTGTTGTCGACGCCAATCTCGCCCTCCTCACGCTCCAACTTACTGCATGTACCACACACAGACGTACATGCGAGGCGGAACCTTTGTGTGTGAGTGTATTGGTCGCAATAGCACCATCTGACGTAGTCGATGGCTGCCCACACACGAGCAACAGTGGAGGGAAGCCATCAAAACACAGGCTGGCCAAGTTGTTTCGGTTGTTTGTTTGCTTGCCTTGCATCTCCTGCTGCCCGTCGCCGATGACGACAGCACGCCCCACCACACCGTCCACCTTCTCAAACACCTGAGCAAATGCCTCCTCCTGCACAACCACACACACACAGAGCCGCAAACCAACGAATGAATGATAGAGTGGTCTGTCGCCCTCACCCTTGCCCCATGCTTTTCTGACCTTCCATGTGTATGGTGTCGTCTTGCCGCTGAAGAGGTCGCGGGCAGAGATGATCTCCACACCTTCCTCGATGAGCAGGCCCCACAGCCGCGGCATGAAATCCTGCATGGTGTCCCTGATCCATGGCATTCTGCCGTTGCTGACAATCACCACCACACTGCGGCAACATCCGCCCAGCCCGCCGTCGCCGCCACAGGCCTTGCTGATGAGGTCCAGGCAGGCGCTCTCGTGGTCGAAGATGGCCGTGGCGAAGCAGCTGTTGACCTTGTATCGTTTGTCGTACTGCTGCGTGGTCATCCACGATGTGTAGAAGAGCGTGTCGTCATAGTCGAGCAGCCACAGGGTGATGGGGTGTTGCGGACGGGCAGCTGGACGGGCAGGGGAGGTGCCGCCAGTGATCTCCGCCATCGTATGACGAGCTAGCGCGGCCTCTTCAACACTGATGGCTCCACAAACGATTTGCAAAGAGAAAAACCAACTCCGAGCCGAAAGGCAGAGGTCTGAATGTTTACTGTGAGTCAATCAGTTTCACAGACCTCTAACGTTTCAGAGACCTCTAACGCAACCACGGGGGAGAGTGATCTGCCTTGTATGCCTTCGATGCACTCTTCCATGCAGCAGTTGGGTCCACATTGAGCTGTGATCTACGTCAAGGTCGATGGCGACGGGCCTCCTGCGTGCCGGCAACCTCAGCGCGTGTCTGAGGCAGGAGAAGGCCTCATGCCCCGCCATCGAGAACATCGTGTGAGCACAGCAAAAGCAACAGAGAGATGCAGCGTCTCAATGTCATCTGCCTTCATTCGCTGTGCTTTTTCATCGTGGCAGGCTGTATGAGTTGTCTGGCGGGGTGGTCGCAGCTGCAGAGAAGGCAGACGAGGAGCAAACAATCATCGTCGGTGAGAGGGATCAAGGCAGTCATCAGTCTGTGCTGTGACCCTTGCATCCCTTCTCGCTCTGCTGCTGCAGGTGCTGTGTTAGTGAATGTGTACACCGAGTACATCGCCTTCTCGGAGCAGTCCAACCAGCCGCTCAACACGGTGCTGCTGAGCACACAGCACAAGACGATAGCCATGACGGCCATCGGCAACCTCATCCTCTGTGTGGTCGGCACCAAGGACGCACCACCAGGACTTCTGCAAAACAAGGTCTGTCAGGACACACAGACATACTAGGCATCAGTGCACCTGTTCCCTGGCTGTCTGTGTGTGTGTGTGTGTGTGTGTGTGTGTGTCAGATGGAGCTGTTGAGAAACAACCTGACGCCGATATTTCGGGCGCTTGGGTATTGAGGCCTGCCTGTACGTTCCTGTAGAGTGCTCGTGGTTGGTCTTGACCAGGGGTGTGCTGTACAGAAGCTGTATGAGCCCGAGCGTACTTACTCACCGATGTGTTCCAATGCGACATTTTCACGCAGACACACCAGGGAAAACTCACATTAAACATATCCGAACACGCACTCTCGGGTCCCGCCTCAACGCGTAGCCAGTTGGACACACAACACGGCTTAGAATGGTGCATAAAAACTCATTCTAGTGTTAACAAAGTCAAACAAACAGCCTTCAAAGCCGACCGAACCCCATCGCTTCCCCTTTGCCTGCGTGTATGTCTCACTGTTACAGGTCATGATGCGTGATAGGAATCTCTGCTTTGGTCGCCATGTCCCACACTTTCCTCAGCCTGACCTGCTGCTGACTAAACACAATGTACTCGTCCCCGGTGACCATGGCCGTCACGTGTATCGAGTCGTACTTTTCCTGCTGCAGGCTCTGGAGGGTGTGCTGGGCGATCTGGGCCTTGGTGATGGTCTTGACCCTCCCCAGGTACACTCTGGCCTCGATCATGCAGCCGCGGTGGAGGGCCTTGTTGTTGGTGATTTGCTCGGACGCCGCACTGAAGAGACACACACGCGCGCACGTACATGCAGAGACAGCACATTCACGCCATGATGTGTCATGTGCTTACAAGTAGATGCCGCCCCCAACGAGACCGCCAGTACCAGGCTTCATGTTGCGACCCGCCGCGATCGCCTGACCTGCCGCTATGGATGTCTGGTGGTACAGCGTGACGGCCTTGGGGCAGTCTTTGGCCCAGTGCTTGCTGTCCTTGTCGCCAGACAGACGGCAGTAGTGCTGCTTGTGCTTCGTCTTGCACCCCTTGACGAGACATTTCATGCAGTCCCTGGTCAGGTGGTCGTTGATCTTGCCGCATCGACGACACTTGTGTCTCGAGTGGTCCTTTCGGCAGCCCCGCACAGGGCAGCGAGGTGGGGATGGAGAGCGGCCGCGAGACGACGAGCCGCCGCCCTGCTGAGATGAGATCGTCAGGTTGCTGAGCAGCATGGCAGCCAGCAGCCGCTGATCGACCGCCTGAGGGAACAGACAGGTGCATGCAGGTGAAGAGCCAGACAGTGGTGTTTGTGGTGGGCGCGTGTGCCCACCGGGGCTGCATTGGCGCCCTGTTCGTTGCTGCTGTTCTGCTGGCATGAGGCGCCTGCTGGTGGCGACTGCATCATCGATGCCAGCAGCTGCGCCGTCAAATGCTGCAAAGAGACACAGCATCGGAGTCACTTGCACCCGTACGTCAGGGCACTTCTGCACCTGCATCAGATCGGGCTGCATCGGGTTGTTGCCGGCACATGACGTCGAAGAGGCCGACGTGCTGGCCTGCGACCGTGATCTCCGTCGGGACCGCCGGCCGGATGCGCTCGAACGAGCCTGACACAGACAGCATCAGCCATAGGAGACACGATTCAGCCTTCACATCCACCAGCCCCGTACAAGTCACCTCCGAGTCAGACTTTGAGCTGTCCGAGTCATTGCCGTCATCTCCTTCTCCGCCCGAGTCGCTGTCGCCGGCCTCCGGTGAGGGCTTCTTGAGCGTGGGGCATGCAGACGAGTAGTGATCAGAGTCCTGCAGCCAGGCAAACAGACGGAAACGCATCGGTGTTTCGGTGCATCATTGGCATTCGTTCTTAGTTGAACAGGACCGTGTCGCCGCAGGTTTTGCAGTAGTGCTTGCCCGTCCTCTGGCAGTTGGGGTGAGTGCAGGAAGGGATCTTGCAGCCGCCGGACTTACTCGCCTGACAGACAGACAGACAGACAGACAGGGACGCATCAAGCACCGAAGTGAGATGTGTCCAGGATGAGCGAGCGGTCCGTCATCAAGCCAATCTTCCCACCTGCGACATTTGACGATGCGCCGGTTGCCGCACCACCTCCCACACTCTTCAGGGCGTTCCCAGCTCCCTTTCTGTCGTGTGCGAGCTAGTCTCGTAATCCTGTTCCTTCGACCTGCGACGCCTATTCCTGGAGAGTAGCTATGCCTACCTCCCATTCCTTTCCCTTCCACGGTGACGTCGAGGCTCGTTTGTGCCCTTCTCTTGCCGTCCCTGACCATTCAGATCTCAGCCGATCTCTTGTTTCTCTCATCCGCTTCGCACCTGCCTCCATGCCTATTTCCAGCCAAGCGAAGAAAGCGAACTCAAAAAAGAACGAGGACAACCGCTCCCACTTTGAGCGTGTGCAGCAGTTCTTCGGTCTTGGCAACGGAAGCAACCCCATGGGCTGCCGTGTGAAGGGCTGCACTTTCCAAAACTGCCAGAAGACGGGCAAGCACTACTGCAAGAGCTGTGGCGACACGGACTCGGACCATTTCGCCTCGGACTGCCCCCGCTTGCGCGGCGGACAGAACGCATCGAAACACTCGGTAGGCAGGCACAACAACAGACCAACTGTTTCTTGCGTGTGTGTGCAAAGCTGATCTGCTGTCTCTTGTGTTTCCGTTGCTGTGTGGCCTGCAGGGTGGCTCATCATCGTCAGGGCGGTCCCACGGCCACCACCCGCCCGACAGCCACGGCCACCACCGCGGCTACCAGGACAGAGATCTCAGCCGCTCGAGGCAGCCAAGTTATGAGCCCAAGCCCCTGTCCTGCCGTGTCAAGGGCTGCACTCACCCCAACTGCCAGAAGACCGGCAAGCACTTCTGCAAGAACTGTGGCGACACGGTACCTAATAAAATCTCATGAGGCTTCGCCTGGGCTGCATGACCCTTTCTTTTCTCGCCTGGCTGCTTGCGTGCAGGATGCTGACCACTACTCGAAAGATTGCCACAAGAAACCCGGCATGCCCATGCCGCAAGCGATGCTTGACTGGGGACACACATCCAACACGCACTCGGTAAGTGAGCAGAACACACCATGCCAGTGCTGTGTGGGTGCAATTGGTGTGTGTGGTGCTCTTCTCTGCTCCGCTCTCTGCTGCAGGTGCATTCATCGCCTCCGCTGTCGTCATCGTCTTCCTCGTCTTCACCTTCGGCAGGCCTGTCGTCTCCCAGAGATGAGGGCTCGTCTCTCGTCGTCCATGCCATCCTCACCCACCATGCGGCGGAGCACGGACGCGCAAAGGACCCCGAGGACGTCACTCGTCTGCTGAGCGTGCTGCAGCAGCAAATGGGCGGCCAGGGGATCTCATCGACCACGTTCCGTGGCGTGGAGAAGCTGTGGACCTCCATCTTCATCGACGAGACGCTGCCCGTCCTGTGTGACGTCCTGTCCAAGAGCGACCTCAGCTTTCCTCTCCGCCCCCCATGCAGCAACCCACACAGCAAAATGGAGAGACGGATGATGGCTCGCGAGTGCTTCGCCCTCGTCGGTGCGGGCTTCCTCTGCCTGCACAAGCACGACGATCCAGGCAGCCTCAACTTTGACCGCCTGTTCGACAACAGCACACCCTCGGGCATGGCCAAGCTGCAGTGCTTCATCAACTACCTCGACACCATGGCGCGGGCCATCAAGGAGAACAAGAGCACCGAGACGGATCGTGTGGTCATCTTCCAAGCCCTGCATAGCCCAGCGGCGGGGCTTCAGGAGTGGTCGGAGTCGACTGCCACTCTGGTGGACGTGCGATTCGTGGAAGGCACCCAAGCATCCATCTTCGACTCGGAGGGCATTAGGGGCGACTTCGCCAACGAGGACATCGGTGGCGGAACGCTGGGAAACGGTACGCAGACCACCTCAGGGGACCCACATACCTCCTTGAATGTGTGTCTGTGTCTTGCCGCGTCTGTGTGAGTATTTCAGGTGCGGTGCAGGAGGAGATTCTGTTCTCGATCGAGCCCGAGTGCCTCGTCGCCCGCCACCTCTTCCCCAGGCCCATGGGATCGACTGAGGCCTTCATGATCATCGGCTCGAGGACATTCAGCAAAACATCCGGCTACGGCCGCGAGACCCTCAGCTTCGCCGGGTCTCTTCTCGACACCGCCACCATGATTCAGACACAAGCGGGTTCGTACCTGGACAAGTACATCGTGGCCTTCGATGCGGTCAACTTCGGCAAGCACGGGGGCGGTCAGCAGTACGACAAGACATGTGTGCTGCGGGATCTCAACAAGGCGTACACGGCCTTCCACTGCAACAGCCTGACGGTCGTCGGTGGCATGCCATTCGCGACGGGGCAGTGAACCACACGGACGGAATGACAGTCACTGCCATCCTCTCTGGCCTCTTCATCTCTGTGTGTATGCGTGTATGTGCCCGTGCAGGCAATTGGGGCTGCGGTGTGTTTGGCCGCGATCCCCAGTGGAAGTTCCTCATCCAGTGGTGTGCTGCGACTCTCGCTGGGCGAAAGCTTGACTACTACCCAAGAGACGAGAAGAGCCTGATGGGCGCCAAGGACTTCATGCACAGCCTGAAGGACGCTGGGTGCGACACTGTGGGGGGATTGGTGCAGCTGATGTGCGATGGGCGCGTACGGAGGGCGATCGGGCCTCACATGTCGGCATTCGACGCCATCATGGCGGCGCTCATCGAGCAAAACACTCCGCCCTCGCCATCGAAGGTCAGCCGCCTTTGCGCGCCTTCCTGCATCAACCAGACTGAGTGCTTGTGTGTGTGTGTGTGTGTGTGTGCTTGCAGTCCCACCTGACCTATCTTCCATTGTCAAACGGGCACCAGACCTATCGGCAGGCGTTGACCAACGGGCTGGCAGCACCACCACCGCCACACCCGGGAGATGGTGGATACGGCATGGTGAGCCAACTTGCCGTCGGAGGTGCAGCTGGCAATGTGCTCGTGTCTGCCTGTCTGTGTGTCTGTTTGTCAGGTACCATCTGCGGCCCTTCCTGAGCTGTCGGCCCCCACCGCAGGGGGACACTACACCAATGGGGAGAATCCAAGAGAGGTCGGTCGAGACACGACGCTCACACACATGTCACTGCTGTCTACTTATCTGTAGGCTGTTTACGAAGGGACAGCAGCGAAGAAGGAGCGGCCTCCAATGCTTCCGCCGCAGACAAACACGACGGCCAGCCATGCGACCGAGTACGCCAAAACAAGTAGAGAGGGGAGACGCAATGGTCGTGTAAGTGTTTGCTTCTGGTGCGCTGTGCTCAGATTCAATCACGTTTTTGAGTTCACGTTCCCATGCACTCGCCCCAAGCCTTCAGTGGTGCTGCTGGCGGGCTCGTGGGACGGCTGGAAGTTTGCTTCAATGCGGTGGTCAGCAATAAACAACAGATTCTACCGCCCCATGCATCCCCCCCCCGGCAATTACGAGTACAAGTTCTTCGTCGACGAGGAGTGGCAGTGCTGCAATGACCAGAAGATGGAGAACGGCCCGTATGGGCCGAACAATGTGGTCACCATCCGGCCTGACGGACACGCGGTGTGAGAGACATGGCTGGCAATGTGAGGCCGGGAGGGGGGAGGGGCGGGGAGGGTGAATGTGTAAGGCTGCGTCGGAACTTCAAGTAAGGCGATCAGGTCCCTGATTGCGTAGTCGTAGTCTCGCTCTCTTTTCATCTACGGTGGTTTTTGATGACTGAATGAAGTACGTGTGGGTGTTGCGTGAGAGAGAGTGCTTAAGGTCGTTTCGGCATTCGCCAAAAGGCAGTCAGGCATCGGAGCGGCGCATACTACGAGTGAGTTTGATCAAGGGAGGGATGCGGGCTGTCTTAGCGATTTCAAGCTAAGGTAGAGACAGGTTGTGGGGGTTTTTGATGAATGAATGAATGAATGAAGTCCGCGTGGTTGGTGCGTGAGAGGCAGTGTGATACTGCCAGAGGCAGCCAGGCATTCCGTTGCTTACATGCGTAGCAGTGAGTTTGATCAAGGGCTGCCCGACACAGATCGGCGTTGGGTCAAATCGCGTGTGAGTGCCGCGTGTGTGTGCGTGACGGCTGCATTCGGATGCGAAAGACTCATGCTTCTTCCATCTTTGCATCGGTTGAAGTGCGCTGATTGCATGCATCCCTTGGTCTGTCCCTCTGTCCATCCATCAATTTGTACGGACAGACAGCCATGACCAGACAGACAGACAGTCAGACAAACACACAGCCACGACTATTCACATCCCACAGGAACGGAAACGAAACAAGCCGCATCATCACTACACAACGACGTTGCAGCCAAGCTACAATGTACACACGCCTCGTGATTGTTGGTCATGCACATAAGCTCACACCACTCCACGCCACGCCAGCCCCGTCCCCACCATATCAGTCAGCCGGTCTCTCCGGTCTCTCCAGATCGCGGCAGGCTCGTGGACAGCCTGGTAACATACATGCTGGCATCAGCGGCAGGTAGATATGCTCACACCACTTTGCGCCCCCACTCATACCTGAGAATCTTGATACAAGTGTAGAAGACATCTCTGTTGTACTCGCTGTCGAAAAAGAGGAACACCTCCCTCTGCAATACATCCACACACACACACACACACACACAGAGAGAGAGAGAGAGATGTGAGCACCTGAAGCGCGCGCGCGTGTGTGTGTGATCATTGCGATTTTTCACCTGATTGTCGCCTTCGCCTAGCTGCAACCCCACACATCGACTGGTGGTCGTCTCGGCCGAGAGAGAAGGCAACTGATGAAACGCACGGGTGCAGGCAGCAAAGTTAACTGTACGCCAATACGCATCATGTATTTGTGGGTACTCACAGACCTTCTCTGCGACTTGCTGGTTCTTCCACACCGACACCACCTGCCAATCGCCACACATGCAGACAGACAGACAGACAGACAGACAGACAGCAGTGCATGGGTATGATGCCTCGATGCAGCCGCGCGCTCACGTCCGTCACGGCGCAGCTGTCGGTCTTCTTGCCATCCTCTCCACGCAGCTGGAAGCTCTGATCACCGGACACAACAACGGATGTATCATGCCTGTGCCACGTTAAGTGGATTCCTCATAGCTCTCACCTTGAGGTATCCATCCATGAGGAACACATTGTCCGCCGTGCTCCCATCAGTCGGGTCGATGACGGAGACGTCGATGCCCTTCACAGCGTCCTGCAGCACATGCGCAACACGTCTCACACCAGCCGATAGACACGCAGTATGTGTGCTCGCGTCCTCCCTCACCTTGGCGAACTGTTTGACGAGGGTCTGCAGCCGCGCCTTCTCTTGCGCCTTCATGACCACACACACACACACCAATCATACAAGATTCATTCTTATCCGCGCCGTTCCCCAGTGCCCGTACCTTTTCTGCGGGTGTCATTGAAGCGGCCGTGCGAGAGCCGCCGCCGGCATCCTGAACACGGCCCGGGGATAACGAACCGCTCTTCTTGAGCCGTTTTATCTCCTGAGCCTGCCGCCAGGCGAAGGCGAGAGCCAGGACCAGCGCCACAGTAAGTCCCAAGGCAACCTGCAAAAAAGGTGGACTCACTGCATCGATGCGCCTGCTCTGTTCGGTCTGTGCTGCCTTGGGTTGCGCACCTGTGTAGTGATGTCTGTCGAGGACCCTTCAGCTCGTCGCGATGAGTCACAGTTGACGCCGGTACTACTGGAACACAGCAACAACACGAGGACCATTGCGATTGCCTCCATTGCGGTTGCACAGGATAAGAGAGGCAGAAGCTCTTCCCTCTCTCCCCCTTGAGCTCGCATAAGCGCGCGGGCAGACCGAAGAAGAGGAAGAAGCAGAGAAAGGAGAAACCGCTCTCTCTTGAGCAGAGAAAGGAGAAGAGGTCAGTGGAACAGCAGAGATATGAAAGAAACACCTGCTCATTGCCGTCATGACGTCGTGTGTGTGTGCTTCAGGGTCATGAGTTCGTCTTCATCCGCGAATGCGCCAGTCGGCGGCCTCACAGCGGCCCAGTCATCGGCAGTCCAAGATCTGCTCCGCCCCGAGAACGCCGAGGTGGCCAAAAGCGTGCTGATCAGGCTGCTGACAGACCCGACCACGAAGGAGCAAGCCAAGAATGTCGTTGATGAGGGTCTGAAAGACGTCTGGCGGACCTCAGACGAAGCCACGGGTGAGAGGGAGGTGCATTCGTCTCGCGTACACAAGTGCATGCGTCCACACGCCACCTACTTGTGTCACACGGACACCCGATTGCACGTGTGTGTGTGTGTGTGTGTGTATGCAATCAATGCAGCCCTGTTACCAAAGAAGGAGGGCACGTGGAGCCTGGACATCATCGACCAGAAAGACCCCAGGAAGGCCAGGGTGCCTGGCTGCGGCGAGCCGGGCACAGAGCACAAGGGCACCGTCAACTTCGTGACCGGCAAGGTCAGCGTGCCGATCTACGGCGACGACTTCAACAACCAGCACATCTACTCCATGCGCCTGCAAAAGGACCGAAACGGCAAGTACGTATGCAGGCACGTCAAAGAAGCATGTGCCCTGGTGAGGTGTATACTTCTTCATCTGTTTCATTCAGGTACCTACTCTTCGAGGCTCAAGAAGTCCAGCGCTGGGGGTGGCGGGACGTCACCTTTGATATGACGGCCAAGGTGAGGCAGACAGCCATCGACGACGCGTACATGGGCATGAGAAGACCTGACATGAATTCATTTGTGTCTGGTGTGTGTAGGTGCGTGTCCAGGTGAACGGCATGGGAGAGGAGCGTTTGGTCGGCGACGCCGAGTACACCTGGACACAGCGTCGCAAGCCCTACCACGAGCGCAGAGAGAAAGACGGAGATCCTGACTGGGAGATCGACAGTGATAGGGACGGGTCCAAGGACCTGTGGGAGTTCACCATCGTCGGGGGCACCTTCCAGCCTCAGGATGGCACCGATGGCACCGCGTAGTCGCCATCCATTGGCGGGCACACCCACGTGGGTCCCATGTAGAAGGACAGTGCTTAGTTTGGCGACACGTTTTCTCTTACCATCTGTGTCTATAGAGAGATGGGTCTGGGCATTTATGTAGGGATGTCTACGACCGGCAGGCGTCACGATTCATGTGCACACCTGAGTGCGGTGTAGACAGACAGGGGCTTCTGTGCGTCGACGAGAGACGGACGGAAGAGACAGAGAAGTGCTATTCGTGCCTGAGTGGGCTACTTGGCGTCACGGTGTTCCCTACCCTCATGTACGTATGATGCAATCATGTGGCTCTGTGACTGGGGGGTCTGCTTGATCATCGTGGTGGTTGTGCTCGTGGTGGTTGTGCTGAGCAGCTGAATTCGCTGGCTGCGTGCTTGGTAGAGAATGTCTCAACGGCGTGACGCGGAAAGCTTCGGATTTCATCCACACGCCTTCTTCATATGCATGCATCCATGCGCACACGAACGCAGTCAGTTGAAAGCACGAGTGGGTGAACGAGTGTTGAAATCCGCCACGCCAGATAGTAGCTACGTTGGTAGTCTCTCTCTCGGACAGGCAGGCAGGCAGCCACAAAGAAACAAACGGATGGATGGATGAGGATGTCCGCAGGGGAGAGAGGCTGGCTGCTCGCTGGCTCACTGGCATGCACACTTAAACATCACACACACACGTGGACTGCTCGCCCTCCCCTCCACGATCCGTCTCACAAAGCTTAGCCACACTGGTCTACTGGCGGCTCCCTCCCTCTCCCCGTCCCTCGCTCAGTGTGGCCAGCCTTGCTTGAGCAAAGACGGCCAATCGGATGCAAAAACGACGAGCAAGAGAATCAAAGGCGGCAGGCAGGCAGGCAGGCAGGCAGGCAGGAACGAAGAGTGCGCCGTGCTCTCGATCGGTCTACGCATCTTGTCTAGGAGAGGAGGAAGCTGCCCTGTCCCTCGTTGATGGCGACGAGCAGCCTCTCCCGCATGACGTCCTTGGATGTGAAGCGGGGCAGCTTGAGGTAGTTGGTGCACGTCATGACCGACGGCAGGTTGCGGTCGGGGGACTGCGGAGAGGGCGTCTCCTTCACCACCACTGTCAACAGGGGCCTGCAAAGAGACACATAGATGACATGCCAACATAAATTGAGGCCCGTGCGTGCGTCTGGGTTGATTGGTTGCGTACTTGAGTGCTCCGAAGCCCTCGAGGGGCAGTGCGGGTGCGCCGGTGGCGAACTGGCAGAAGAGACGCCTCTCCTTGGGCGACAGCTCACTCAGCACCTCCAACAAATACCGGAACGGCGCTGAGTCCCTCTGGTAACTGCACACACGCCGAGAGGGAGATAGAGCAACACGAAAAGTCCACATGCAGGTGTCCATGTGCACATGTCTCGCCGTGCGCCGTACCCGTGTGCAGGTTTGATGTATGTCTTGAGGTGGTCCAGTGTCCAGTACTGGTTGTCCGCCGCATCACCGCCGGCGATGAGCTGCGTCGCCAGCTCCACAGGCTGAAAGCTCAGCAGCGCCTCCAACGGCAAAAACAACTCGAAGCCCTCACGGAACGCATGTACCTGCAGAACACCGCACGAGCAGTGCAGACATGAATCAACAAGGGGCGTGGTGGTCATGGTTGGTGCGTTGGTGACCTGGAGTGCGATGCCCGAGTAGAGCATTGCGCGTCCTACTAGCTGCAGGTACTCGTCGAGGGTGTCCCGCGTCACCACCATGTCCCTACCGCCGTCCCTCAGCTCATACAGTGGCTCAGGACCTGCAACACACACCGTGCACCGCACCTATGGCGATAGCTCCCTCGGCCATGTGTGTGTGTGTGTGAGCGCCAGACTTACCGGGCACGGTGAATATGACGCAGAGCTGCTCCAGGTCGAACCCCTGTGCCTTCATCTCCTTCATCTTCTGCAGCTGGTTGTAAAACGACGGCGACACCTGCACACACAGCCAAACATACCCACAGAGAGAGACATCCGTCAATCCACGAGTGTCTGTTCGTGTCCCCGCCCTGTTCGTCAGCCAGCACAGACCTGCATGATGTCGGCTTCGTAGGACAAGGTCACCCGTGCCTCCATGCCCTTCTTCTCGTCCTCCTCCTCGTCCTTGTTCGGCTCGTCAGTGAACGGACACAGAATGGGGAAGTGACCACCGCCTCCCGGCCGCTGCCTTTTGACGTCCACTTCCCGCGCCGCGTCCGACAGCACCAGGCGCCAGAAGACCGGGTGCAGCCGCAGGTCCATCAGGCGCTGGTCGGTCAGCGACTTGGCCACCAGCATCCCCAGCAGCTTGAAGTGCTTGTACAGCTTCGACTCGAACGTCCGCTCCAGGGGGTGCCGCTCATCGCGTTCGGGTGCGGTCCACTCGCTGCTGTTGTGGGCACGGCCGGCGCGCAGCAGGCCGCTGCGGGAGGCGAATGCCGAGCCCGCTGGGCCGTTGGCGCGTGTGTCCTTCTTGGGTTTGGCGAGCAGTGTGGGTGCGACCTTCTGGAAGTCGACGTGGTAGGCCTGTGGGAAGAGGAGGCCGTTGGGCGGCTCGAGGAACAGACGGGGGCTCGTGGAGTCCTTGAACGCTTGCGCAACCTGCATTACACACACGGAAGGTCATATGTGTGTGGGCGTCTTCCATGCGTGTGTGTGTCGTGAACGAACCAGTGCGTAGAATTCGAGTGTGGGTCCAAGTCCTGATCCCGACTCGTTGTAGTACTCGACCTCCAACACGGGCTCCACACGGTGACGCTGGCTTCTCACACACTCAAACACCTACATATACGAAAGAAAAGAACAGTGACGGGCCTCTCTGCGAGACATTTGTGGTTGCGTGTGCGTACCTTCCAGGCATTTTCTATGATGGGTGTGCGGCCGATACGGACCTTCTGGCGAGGAAGCGTCGTGTGCTGCGAAAGAATGCCACACACGAGGTGGATGATTGATGCCCATTTTCTTTTCCCTTCACCACTGACCCTACTGACCTCTTTGATTTGGTTGAGTATGTCCTTTTGTCTCTTACGGCTCATCCGCCCGCCGTAAGGGCCCAGACCCATCATCATCATCAGCGCCGTGTCCGCACCCTTGGTCGCATTGGCCGTACCAGACCCCGCCCCTCCCTGCCCCTCGGCCTCCCTGTCCGCCCGCAGGTCATCCCCCGACTCGGACGGCGAGGGGGGCGGCGACGGCATGTTGTCATTGCTCCCAGCACCGCCGGCCCCCTGGCCGCCACGCCTGACCTCGATCTCGGCCGCGTCACTGAGCCATCGGTGGAAGAAGTGCATGGAGCGCTTGGAGCCCATGCCCGTGAGGTAGAGCAGACGACGCCTGGCTTCAAAAAAGAAGAGGTAGGGGCAGGCCACGGCCAGCCGGGAGATCCATGTGGGGATCTGGTTGCCGATCACCGCCAGGGGGTCTGTCAGCTGCCGCAGCACCTTGGACGACAGAGATGGGCTGCAGAAGGCGTCAGTCAGACCGATGCGGTCGCCGAAGGTGGTTTGGCTTTGGGAGAGGGCCCGATCACGCTCAAACCGGCCGGTGGAGAGTCGGGACATGGATGCGGTGGGCGATGGGACGGGGGATGTGTCGGTCATCATGGGGGCGAGTCCGTTCCCCTCACCGTTGCCATAGCCGTTGTCAGCCAGGACGTACGTGTTGCCCCCCAGCGCCACGCCCGTGTAGAGCTGCTGCAGCCGTTTGATGGCCCACACGCAGTTGTGGAGGCCCATCAGCAGCTGCACCACCGCTGCGAGGTCCTCGTTGGTCTTGAGGGGGTCCTCAGGAGGCGGGAGGTTGAAGGACACCTCCTCGGGCTCATCATCACCCCCGTCAGCAGCAGCTGCTGCTGCGGATGGGGCGGCAAGTCCATCTGCAGACTCAGTGGGCACAGGCTGATCCGGCCCGGGGGCGTCGGTGCTGTCAACAGGAACAGCGGCAGCAGCCTCGCTTGTCTGTTGGGCGGCAGGGGATGTGTCCCCGCTGCTGAACGCCCTGTCCTTGTCTGCACCGTCCTCGTGGGCAGCGGCCTCCTGCTGCTGCTTCTTGGATTTCTTCTTTTTCTTTTTGCTCTTGTTCTTCTTCTTCCGGTTGCCGGCGGCGCCCCCCGCGTCCTTGTCCTCCTCACCCTCTGGCCCCTCCTGCCCCTCGACGGCGCCACCTGAGCCGCCAGAGTCGACCAGGCTGCTCGATGACGTCTTGATGGAGATGCCCTTGGCGTCGGCTGTGTCGTCCTTGCCCTCGCCCGCCTTGCGCTTCCTGTTGCGCAGGCTCTCGTCGATCTCGGCGTCGCTGGCCATGCCGGAGGGGCAGGAGAGCCCGCGGATGAAGCGCATCCGGTGGAGCGTCTCCAGATGCCCCCTGACCAGCTTGGCGGCTTCCGAGGTCACGATCGACTCGGGCGCGCGCGTCAGGTCGTCGTGCAGCTGCAGCGGTTCGTCAGCCGATGCCGATGCTGTCTTCTTATCCTTCTTGTCACCCTCCCCCTCCCCCTCCTGCTTGTCCGAGCCGCCCTTCTTCTCCCTCAGTAGCACCCTGTAGGTGAACTGCTGGTGGGGACCGCCCCACGGCCGCACCAGCATCGCCGGCGCCCCTGAGTCCTTCTCGCCATCGGCCTTGTCGGTCTCCTGAGGCGTGAGCGAGCCCTCATCGCCTCCGACGTAAAACCGCACGGTCGGCCCCGACGACTCGCCCTCCTGCTCTTTGGCCCCTCGGCCGCTGGCACGGGGCGCGACGGTGATGGAGATGCCCCGCCGGCCTCCGGGAAAGACGGAGACGTCATCCGGCTGCTGGTACTGCTTGGGGATGGGCGATGCCGTGCCGTATTTGAGGACGGCCTCGAGCACCGGGATGTTGGACGAGAGTGGCACGTTGTTGAGGAACAGCTGGATGGACATGTTCTTGGACAGATCCTCGGGCCTCTCGGGCCGAGTGGGTGCCTGAGGGGGCTGCGCGGCAGCAGCAGCTGCTGCTGCTGCCGCGGCAGGAGGCTCGGGAGGTGCGGGGCTGGCCGATGGTGTGGGTGCGGTGGGTGACCCAGCGGCTGGCGACCCTGCTTTGTTCTGCTGGGCACGCTTCTTCTTCTCCCGCCTACGGGCGCTCCTGCTCATCGGGGGACCGCCTGCACCAGCCGCAGCCGCAGCGGCTGCTGCTGGTGAGCCAGCAGCATCGGGCTTGTCCCCCTGGCCATCACCACCCATGGCCTCGTCACCTTCCATCGGGTGGTCTGCGGGCTCTGTCTCAGGTGGTGCTGGTCCGGGTCTGGCGTCATCGTCGCCCCATGAGTCCATCATGTCCATGTATTCGTCGCCGATGCCGCCCTCCACCCTCCTGTGTGGCGGGGGTGAGGTGGGGGACTCCTCGTCGGGGTGTGGCTCCTCAGCTGCGTAGTCCATGCCCGCGTCGATGGCGTGGGGCGGGCGGTGGCCGAAGTCATCCTCATCCTCATCATCTGACAGAGACCATGACACACACGAGATCGGCCTATGTGTTTCGACGCGTCTTGTCGGGTGTCTGCGGTGCGAGTGTGTGAGTTGCCACACCTTCTTCATCGTAGTCGGGCTCGAATCTTGACCGTTCGTACATGACGTCCTCTGGCGGGCGCTCCTCCACCTCATCCTCATAGTCGTAGTCGTCATCCATGAACTCCGCGCCCTCAGCCGGCGGGCCACCCGCCTCATCCATCGCCTCTGCACGAGCCATCTCCACGTCGCCGTCGTTGTCCCGCGCACCACTACCATCCCCGTCACCGCCGGAGGCCGCTGCCGCACCCTCCCTCCGGCCCTCGTCCATGGCCGCCCTGCTGACGGGCGACCCCTCCTCTGATGTGAAGTCCTCAGTGCTCATGGGGGGTGGGGGGCCGGGCTGTGGGGGCATCTCGCTGGGCGGGTGGTCCTCGCGCCCAGCAGCGCTGCGCTTGATCATGTCCCGCATCTGCCGCATCCGCTCCCACGACGCCTCGTCGGGGTCGCGGTCGCCTTCCTTCTTGCCACCAGCCATGGCCTTCTTGGCACCCAGACGGGCTGCCATCGACGGCGGCATGTCATAGTATGCTCGGGCCGACCGGAATGCGGCAGCGGATGAGTTGGGGTCCTCACGTCGGTTGGCTGCCGGGGTGCGGGCGATGATGGTGCGTCGCACGTAGTCCTCCAGGTAGGCCACGGTGGTGGTGGCGTCAATGTGCACGCCGCTCTCGAACAGCTCAAGGCCGTCCGGGCCTCGCATGCGGCGGCCAGCAGCCGGGCGAGGAGGGCCCATACCGTAGGCCATGGCCATCTCGAATCGCTCCCTGTCCCTGTCTCGGTCCATCATCCTCTCCCTCTCGTATGCCAACATGCTGCTCGGCTCCATGCTCATCCGCTCGTACATGAGCGACCGCTCGCGGTCGACGCGGTCCATCAGGGCGATCATCCGTGACCGCTCCCGGTCCCGGTCCCGCCGCTCGTCGTCCTTGCTGCGCTGCATGCGTCGGTCCATGAGGCTGTGGAAGATACTCGGGCGGTCTCGGTCTCCCCCCTCTTCTCTGTCCCAGCCTGATGGGGGCGGAGGGATGCCAGACGGGCCAGAAGGGGGTGCTGCGGCCGCCTTGGCCGCCACAGATCGGGAGGGAGGCACCTTGGGCTGGTGGTCCTGCGCCTCCTTCTTGTCACCCTTGTCCTTCTTGTCCTTGCCATCCCTGTCAGGCTTGTCCCTGTTGTCGCTCTTGTCGCGGCTGCCCGTGCAACCGAACGGGGGGAAGCCGAAGTTAGTCAGCCACGAACTCGGCGCCTTGTCCTTCTCCTTGTCGTCACCACCATCCTTCTTGCCGCCCTTGTCCTTGTCGCCCGCGTCATCCCCACCGCCATCACCGCCCTCCCGGGGCGCCCCTTCCTTGGGCCTCAGGAACGAGCTGGGGATGAGGCGGCCACTCGCTGGCGGCACTGCCGGCCTGGGGAAGGGCGGGCTGCTCTTCTTGTCGCCATTGTCGGGTTTGTGCTCGATGGGTGAGAGGTTGGCCCTGAGGGGCTCCTTGAGTGACCGCAGGAGTGTCAGGGGGTTGGCGTAGGGGTTGCGGTCCTCGCGGTCAGTGGTGCGGGGCCGGCCGCCGCTGTTGAGGTATCGGTAGACGTGGTGGGAAAACTCACGGTGGTGCCCAGAGCCCTCACTCTGACCCAGCATCAGCTCAGCCCGTCGGCGTTTGGCGTCCTGAGCACTCGGGGGCCGCAGGTGGGCGGGGAGCGACGCGTCGGCGTCAGCAATCTGCCAGTAGATGCGCACGGGGAGCCGCTCGGCCCGGCTGATGGACCGGACACACAGCTGCACCAGCCGCATGAGTGCCGTGGTGTCGCCCTTGTGGGCCAGGGTGTCGAGGAAGAGGTACAGCCGCCGAAAAGCCTCCTGCCGGTCCCTCAAGAGGGCCGAGCCGTTGTCATCGCCACCCGACTTGTCGTGATCGTCGGTCGCCATGTCGGTGTGCTCGCTGCGCACAACGCCACCGAAGAGGAACGAGCACAGCGCCTGGGCGGTGCCTGCACAAACAGAGAAGACACGACAGGCTCATCCGTCAGCACGCCCATGAATGTGGTTGTCGCTTCCGTGACATACCTGTGTGTAGGAATTCGTATGGCGAGAGGTCCTCTGCGAGCAGGAGGTGCTGCAGCTTGCTCAGCGCCTCCTTGGCGCTCGACAGGTAGGACGTGTCCACTGGGGGCGCCGACACGGGCATCATCATCTTGGGCCGAGCCGGCGCCACCACCGACGCCATGGCCGCCTCCATCTCCTCCGGTGACAGGTGGTCGCTCAGCGATTGGGCGCCACTGCCGCCCGCCACACCCATCGTCACATCGCCATCGTTGTCTGCCTCGTCGTCGGTCGACTGCTGGATGGCTGGGCAGCTCCTGCTGTCGCGCTTGAGTTTGGTGGTGATGGTCTGCAGCTGCTTGAGGTTCTTGTTCTCGGCCACCATCTCGGCCACGTACTGCTCCAGCACGGCGTCGGCCGTGGCGCCGATCATCCGGTGGAGGTCGTGGTCGGCGGGGCCGGTGTGCGTCTTGGCGTCCTGGCGGGCGCGTCGCGGCTCGCCAGTGAGCTTGTAGATGGCGGCGATGAGGCCGTGGCGGACGAACGGCTGGGCGAAAGCGTCGTAGTCGATGGTCAGCACCTCCAGCACAACAGACAAGGCCGCAAGGATCTGACAACATGCAAGGGCAGCACAAAGACGTGACAGCATGGTACCCTGGTGCTTCTGGCCAGCACTTACCGTGGTGGGTGATGTGGATGAGGTCAGCAGCCCGGCCATGAAAGAGCTGAGCTCTGTGGCGTCCATGCACTCCAACACCTCCCGCGCCTGCGATATGTCCATGTGCCCGTTCTCGCCGCCAACCACAGTCCAGCCGTCAGCAGACTCCTTGTGGCTCGACTGCGGGCCCCTCAGCGCGCATGCGAGGTCGGGCTGGACACAGTGGGAGAGGCACGTGACGCACACCACCAGCATCGACACGGCCAGCGACTGGGTGGCGGAGGAGCCGGCCATCTGGCTGACGTTGATCGACACCAAACGGGGCAGAAGTGTCCTGCATACAGTCATCACACAAAATGACGCAGACCAGACCGTCCGTGTGTTCCTGCCCTTGCTCACTTCATGAGTTGCTCGATGTGCGGCCAGTATGCCCGAATGACCTCCATGCGGCTGTAGTCGAGCACCAGGGCACGCTGGCGGTGCCGCGCCGACCCGCCCCGCGGCCACCTCTGCCGGTCGCTGCCGGGCGATGGGGCCGCCTCCCACTGGGGATTGTAGTACAGCATCGGCAGCATCGACGCAGCCAGACACAACACGCGCAGCATCAACACGCCCTCAGCACCATCCTGCAGAGAGGTGGAGAGAGACAGACAGACAGACGGGGGAGATGTGATGATGTGTGTCGTTTTGTTCGTGTGTTGGTGGCTGCTTGCTTACGGCTTGAAAGAAGTCCCTGAGAATGATGGCGAGGTTCTTGGGCTCCTGTGCGAGTGCCCTTGCAGCGACTTGGTCAGAGTAGTGGGTCATGACCGACACGCAATACGACCCCCACAGCACGGTGCTCAGGTCGCCCACCTCCCCGGCAAGCCCCTTGGATATGACGTCCAGCAGTCTGGACAGCGGCCCCTCGCCCATCTCGGCAAACACCTTGGCGACCAGCTCACCCGAACCCTTCTCCTGGGGCGCCTCATCCTTCTTGTCCTTGTCACCACCAGACGATGATGCCGGTGCCGCGGCCGCGGCAGCTGCTGCTGCTGCCGGTGGGGGGCTGCCCTTGCGCTCGGGCGGAGCAGCACCGGAGAGCATACTCGCGCGAAGGGCGCTGGAGAGAGAGAGGGATCAACATGTGATGCCTGGATCTTGTGTATTTCCCTGTGCTGGGTGTGGTGTGTGTTACCTCGATATTTTGGGTGGTGGTGGCTCGTCCGGCATTGTGACCTCGTGGGGCCCATAGAGATCCACTATGTTGTCTACCACTGACACCCAGCACTCACCAGCATGCTGAATAACCAAGCCACCAGGATACAGGCATTATCAGAGAGACAGATGGCCTGATGTGCGTTTGGGGTAGTGCATCGCATCCTACCTGGAGGACTTGTGGGTCGTCGTGCACGAGCAGGTTGGTGAGTGATGAGATGGACGGCTTCACCTGATTCACGTACACGTCGCGACTCGGGATGTAGTGCAGCTGCCCTGTTCGACACACACGTGACAGACACCAAACATTAGGGTGGTCCTGGGCTCGGCGGTCCTGGTCTGTGTGATTGTCATACGTGCGACGGCGGTGACGACGGTTCGGTGGATGGCGAGGGACGGGAAGAAGTCGACGTATTTGAGCATGGCCTCCACACCGCCGGCCTTCAGAATCGCCATCGGCTGCTCGTCCGCTATCTTGCCTAACAGCTGCTCACATCACACAGACATACAGAAGAGTGAGCTGGTTCGTGGCTTGTCATGTGGTGGTGGTGGCTATGAGTGGGTACTGTACCGATAGGACTGAGTCGATGAGGTCTTCGTATGGTGTCTGGTTGAGCTTGTTACACATCACCGGCACACCACCTGCAGTGCAACACACCGGTACACACACGAATCGTGATCCAATACATTCCGGCGGGCCTGCCCTCTCTGTGCGTGTGGTGTGTGCATACCTGAGTTGACGACGAGTGTGATGGCCGGCGGCAGCACGTCGATGACCTGGTAGAGGCAGCGCGACGCCATGAGCATCCTGTTGGCGTCGTCGTTGCCGAACTGGAGGTTGAAGTGCTGCGCCTCGTCCCCCAGGGCCATGGCCAGCTCCAGCGCCACGGCCTCGTCCACACCGGTGTTCTTGCCCCCGTCCTTGTTCTCGAGCAGCTCGATGAGCAAAGGCACGAACTCCTCCAGCGGCAGCGACATGACCAGCTCCTCCGACCCCATGAGCAGCTGGTTGCACAGCTCGCTCAGCGCCAGGCTCTGCGCCTGCGAGTCGGCCGACCGCAGCGACTTGAGCATCTGACTCCACCGTGACGACCCCCCGCCGCCACCGAATGGGTCCCGCAGGTGTCTGCGGAACATGCCGCTCATCCCACGCACCTCCTCGTCGAGCGGTGAAGCCGCAGCTGCCGCAGGTGGCTCGTCATTGACGGCACCTGAACATACACAATCACACATTGATGGACTCGTGGACGCGTCGCCTGTCTCTCTCTGGCTGGCAGCTGACCTGAGGCGGCCGCTGCCGCAGCGTTGGTCTGCCCCTCCTGCCCCTCGTCCCCCTTGGGACCGCTGGCCCCTCCATCCGACATCTTGGCACGCTTGCTCTTGCGAACACGCCGCGGAGCTGCCGCCTCGTGCTCCTGCTGTTGCTGTTGTTGCTCTTCCTGTTCTTCTCCCTCTTCCTGGTGATCGATGTCGAGGTCGATCTCTGACGACTTGCGCTTCCGACCCTTGAGCTTCCGGCCCACGGAGGAACGACGCTCGCCCACACCTGCTGCAGCAGCCGCGGACGCTCCTGCTGCAGACGACGATGGCCCTGGACCACCCGCCTCCTCTCCCTCCTCCTGACCCTCGCCTCCCTGCTGCTCAGCCCGTGGTGGGGCAGCCGATGCCGCCCGCCTGGACCGTTTGCTGGCTCGGTTGGCCTCCTTCTTGGCTCGCGCCTTCTCCCTCCTCTCGTGTCGTCGGTCCCTCTCCGCCCGCTGCTCCTCAACAGACGATGCCGCCGCTGATGCGTGGGCTGGTGGTGCTGGTGGTGCTGGTTGGTTTTGAGGATGTGATGCGTTTGCCCTGTGTGCTTGAGACCGCCTCGGGACTGGGGCGTTCTCCCGCCTATCCTTGGCCTTGGTTGACATACACAGAGGGGAGGCACGCGGGCATCAGTGAGCGGACCAACAACAGCACCCACAGACTGACGGTAGGATCAGGGACAGATAGGCCGAGGGGCGAAGGGAGGGAGAGAGGGAGGGACGAAGTGAATGCGATGCCGAGGGACCAAACGTGTCTCAAGAATCACCTGCAGACACACATAACACATCGATGTCTCGTTCAGACTGGCCATGGTGACGCCAGCGAGGCGCCACAGGCACCCAGCTAAGCCATGCTGTGTCCGTGCATGTCTCTCTGATCATAGACGGACCTCGGGTGATGCAAGGATGTCGTATGCTGCCGTGCCTGACACTCCTGTTGACCCTCTGCTGGGGTAGTGAGCTGTGTCGGCTGCCGGAGTCTCGTAGCGACTCCAACGCGCAAGATCAAAGAAACAGATACTCTACAACGCTCTCTGTGGGTGAGCAGCTGCACAAGAGCTCCTCTGTGAACGCCAGAGCCCCTCCAATGGCTCTTTTTCAGCCCTCTGGAAGGAGTGCGAGCTCGCCCTGGATCGCTTTCCCTCAGCTCGCAGCCGAAGAAGCGACGTCTCCCTTTTCACTGCATCCTGTGAGCCCCTATTCGGTGCTCTCGCGGTTCGTCGCAAAGATCTGCAAATATCATGGCTTATCGAGGTAGGATGACTCATCTCCCTCACTGGTGAGTGCTCATTCGGGCGCCTCCGTGTGCGCCTCTGTGTCTGTGTGTGTGCAGATGACGATTTGGTGTGCGCGTGGCCCGTGCCGTCTGACCTGGACATTGCCCAGTCCATCGCGCCCATCCCAATGCAGGAGCTCTCCGCCAAGATGGGGCTGGCACAGGAGGAGATACACTACTACGGCAGATACAAGGTCGCACGGGGCACTTTGTGCTGACGGATGAGTCGGCCATGAGTCAAAGTCATCGTCTGATGCTCTGTGTTGTCATGGTTGTCATGTGTGTCAGGCCAAGGTGGATCTGTGTGTGCTTGATCGGCTGAAGGACGCGCCCAATGGCAAATATGTGGTCGTCACGGGCGTCACGCCCACACCGCTGGGCGAGGGCAAGACCACCACAACGGTAGGCGCCGCGCAAGGGATGGACAGACGAACACCGATAGAGAGGCCATCTGTTTGTCGTGTGTGTTGTCAGGTTGGTTTGAGTCAGGCGTTTGGCAAGCACCTGGGCTGCCCGGTGTTCACGTGCGTCAGGCAACCCAGCATGGGTGAGTGACTAAGTGAGTGAGTCACCGACACGCAGGACGAGAGGACGACAAAGGATGCTCGCTCACTGCCTCTGCGGGTGCAGGTCCAACCTTTGGGATGAAGGGAGGCGCGGCTGGCGGGGGATACTCACAAAGTGAGTAAGGTCGACGACGAAGCGAGCACGCGAATGAATGGCCGTTTCCGTGTGTCTGTAGTCATTCCTATGGAGGAGTTCAATCTGCACCTCACTGGGGACCTCCACGCCGTCGCGTAAGCACTGACAGCCCAGACACGCACGGGATGGTGCCCTTACTGACTCTGTTTCTTTCCCCATCCATTCGTGTAGGATTGCCAACAATCTGGTAAACAGACACCGCCCGAACGCGTCTGACTTTCACCACTCTTGTCTTTCGCTTCCCATGATGTGGTCCACCAGCTCGCGGCTGCCATCGACACACGCATGTTCCACGAGGTGACCACACACAACGACAGCCAGGCCCTGTGGGCGACTCAACAAGCAACGCTTTGCCTTCTACGTGGCTGCAGTCGACGCAGAAGGACGAGGCCCTGTTCGACCGGCTCGTCCCGAGGGACTCCGCGGGAGGCAAACGGTGAGTAAGCCCACACCAACACACAGCCGCGGGCCAATGGTGAATTCGATTCTGTGACGCAGGCGCTTTGCCCCCGTCATGAAGAAGAGACTCGCCAAACTCGGCATCGACCCAGAAATAGAGTAAGGACACGCCTCAATCAACAGGTCGATTGGGGTGAATGTGTCCTCTCTCCTGTTTCAGTGGCGACTCGTTGACAGCCGAGCAGAAGGGTGCGTTTGCGCGTCTGGACATCGACCCCGACACCATCATCACTCGACGAGTCGTAGACGTCAATGACAGGGCACTCAGAGGAATCACCATCGGAAAAGGTCACACATTCTCACCCCACACGCAATTACGCAACCACCATGACCCGCGCACACGTAGGTGAACGTCTTTTTGGCTGCAGGCGAGAACGAGAAGGCGCCTCGCGAGACAGGTTTTGACATCGCTGTCGCGTCTGAGGCCATGGCCATCCTGGCTCTCGCCCAAGACCTCCCGGATCTGCGGGACAGACTGGGAAGGGCCGTCGTCGCATCTAGCAAAAATGGTACGGTGCACATACAGACAGTGGGAGATATGATCCATACACTGCTGTGGTTGTCGTTGCTCTCTGTGTGCAGGCGATGCGATAACGGCCGACGATTTGGGTGTGGGTGGTGCCATGACGGTGCTGATGAAGGACGCACTGATGCCCACCCTGCTGCAGACACTCGAGGGCACTCCGGTGTTCGTCCACGCGGGGCCATTCGCTAACATCGCTCACGGCAACTCGAGCATCGTCGCGGGTGAGCCACAGTGCTCGCGAAGAAAGGACGAGGCACTGAGAAGGATGGTGACATTCGTCGTGTGCAGACAAGGTGGCTTTGAAGATGGTGGGCCCTGAGGGATTCGTCATCACAGAGGCTGGTGAGTGGGTGCGTCAGACATATGTTTCGACGTATCGACACGTGTGCCTTGGTGCGTTTTAGGATTTGGTGCTGATGTTGGTTTTGAGAAGTTTTGCGACATCAAGTGCCGGTCCAGCGGGCTGCACCCCGACTGTGCCGTCATTGTGGCCACCGTACGGGCACTCAAGGTCAGTGCTGACACACCGCCCACGGCACACCTGCAGCACAAACATTGTCGCACACGTGTGTGTTGCGTGCAGCTGCATGGCGGTGGCCCGCCAGTGATCGCGGGGAAGCCCAAGGCACCATGCTACACGGTGAGTAGAGGCACAGACTCACTCTGACATCGGTTTGCGTGTCTTCTGCACACCGATGTGTGTCGGCTCGCTTGTGTGTGTGGGCAGTCTGAGGAGGTGGATCTCGTCGAGAAGGGCTGCTGCAACCTGCAAGGTCGGCACAACACTCACTCCTACATACGGACACACACAAGAAAGCCATCTTCATTCATTGATGTGCGTTGGTGGGGCACGTCCATCTGTCCATCCATCTGTCCATCAGTGCATGTGCGCAACTGCCGCAAGTACGGTCTCCCAGTGGTGGTGTGCGTCAACAGACACCCCACAGACACCGCCCGCGAGATCGACATCGTGTGCCAAAAGGCAGTCGAGGCGGGCGCGAACAAAGGTACAGACACCACACGCCGCACATCACCTTGAGTCTCCCATTCGTCTGTTTGCTTGTGTGTCAGCTGTGTGTGGTGAGCACTGGTCGAGTGGCGGCAAGGGGGCCGTGGCGCTGGCAGAAGCCGTCAAAGAGGTCAGTGACCAAAAGGCAGCACAGCAAACCATGGGCTCGTGGGCAATCGACGCCTTTTATGGTCCGTGCTGTTACTCTTTGTGTGCGCCTTTTCAGGCGTGCTCGCTGCCAGAGAAAGGTAAGTCCGGCAGGCAACAGAGAATGTCTCAGCACCAACATGGGTCATCGTTGTGCTTGCAGCCTTCAGTTTCCTCTACCCCCTGGACATCAGCATCAAGGAGAAAATCAGTGAGAGAGACCGACACACACAAACATGGTGACTATCCTTCCGCACCACACGAGTGTGTGTCCCACGTGTGCAGGCGCGATATGTGTGAACATATACGGTGCTAAGGACGTCGAGTACTCTGACGTGGCCAACGCCAAAGTCGAACGATTCGAAAAACAAGGTGACCCCGAGACGCCAAGACATATATACGCCCACACCACCTCTCATCGCCTCATTCTTGTGTGTGGTCAGGTTTCTCTGGCATGCCCATCTGCATGGCCAAGACCCAATACTCACTCAGCCACGACGCAGACCTCAAGGCAAAACAAACAAGCCAACACTTACACACATACACGCACCCATATGTGTGTGTGTGTGTGCTTGCTGCCATGTATGTGTGCTCAGGGCGCTCCCACGGGCTTCACTGTCCTCGTCAAGGACGGTGAGCACACGGTTACAAGACAGCACAACACAGATCCGTGTGTGTGCAGTGCGTGCGGCAGTGGGTGCCGGCTTCATCTATCCTCTGCTCGGACCCATCATGACCATGCCAGGTGGGTCGACCACACCACCGACCACCATGCGTAATCGACCATGGCCGTTGTCTGCAGGTCTGCCCACCCGCCCCGCGTTTTACGACGTCGACATAGATTTTTCAACAGGCAAGATCACGGGGCTCTTCTGAAGTGCACACTACTGCTCCTGGTGGATGGCAGTAGTAGGGATGCGGGAGGGCTGCATGCTCTCACGTGTGCAGATACATCCACTAACTCTTGCCTCCTTTTTATGGCTTTTCGCTGCTCCACCCGTGTGACTGATGGTGGTGGTGCAGCGCATAGGAGGGGTGGGGTGGGGTGCTGTATGTCTGTAAGTACTTACCAGAGCTGCACGCGCGCGTTTTTTTTTATTCATCTGACGGACAGCTGGTCAACTGAGTGGGAGGAAGGAGAGAATCGGTATGTGCTCAGGGAGGTGTTAGCACAACTGCCACTGCCCTCGTCGGGGCTCCGCTACAGACCACAATGCGGGTTCGAACTCCGCCGCCTCCCTCTCTATACTGACGTCTTGTCGCCTCTCTCGTCGTGCGGTGCGCAAAGCACAGATGGATGTGATGGTGTGGCGTGTTGTCTGTAAGTTACTTGACATGGCCACACGCGCAATTTTTCACTCATTTGACGGGCAGCTGACTGAGTCTGGGGAAGGAGAGAGCTGATGTGTGTTCAGGGAGGTGCTGGCACAACTGCCACTGCCTTCGCCGGCTCCAGCAACCAGCAATGCGGGTTCGAGCCCCGCCGCCTCCTCTTTCTTGCACACGTCCTGTCGCTTGTTCTGTCGTGACATACGGACGGCCCGTCCTGTCTCTCTGTTTGCGACGATTGACTGAGTGCCCAACCGCCGTGTACAGAGCGCCAGCCAGCCAGCCACCACCCACCCCACACATACATACCTATGTGTACATGGATGGATGGACGGATGAGTGCAGTACGTGCGCGATTGAGACGCCAGTCGTTGATTCATTCAACGATTGTCACAAGCAGCCCTTTTTCCCCACACACGAAGACAATTTTTTGCGGCGTGTGTGAGAAGTGGTGGTGGCGGTGGTGTTGAAAGGTGTGATGGCGTGGTGTCTGCTGTCTATTGTCTATAAATACACAGGCAATTTTTCATCGACCTCACCCACAGCTGACCATGGATAGCAGGTGGAAGGAAGGGCGGCAGTGATTGTGGTTAGGGAGGTGTTAGCACAATTGCTGCCACGATCTACCGCTAATTGATCACAATGCGGGTTCGACCCCCGCCGCCTCCTCTCTCTTGCACACGTCCTGTCGCTTGTTCTGTCGTGCAGTGCACGCAAACGGCCCGTCCTGTCTCTCTGTGGTTGCTCGCCCGCCCGCCGTGTACAGAATAGCCACCCACCACCACCACCCACACACCCACCGACCACACACATACACACCTATGTGTCTATGGATGGATGGCTGGACGGACGGGTGCGATGCATGTGCATGATGCACGTCAGTGAGAGAGACCGAGACCATTGACACGCGATTCATTGATTCAACGATTAGTCGGAAGCAGCCCTTTTTTCCCACACACGAAGACGGTTTTTTGTGGCGTGGATGAGAAATGCTGGCGGTGGTGGTGAAAGGTTTGATGGAGAGGGACGCCCTTTGCTTTGCAGCGAGGTGTTGGCACAATTCTGTTGCTGCCTTGACATCTAGCGATTCACCACAATGCGGGTTCGAACTCCGCCACCTTCCTCTCTCTCCACCGACGTCATGCCGCTTGTTCTGTCATGCGGTGCAGTGCAGTGCGAACGGCCCGTCCTGTCTCTCTTGCTGAATTCACTTATTGCCCGCCCGTCGTGTACAGAGGGGCCGCCCACCCACCCACCCACCCACCCACATACAGACAGACCTGCGTGTACCTGGACGGATGGACGAAGTCATGTGCAACATCGCTTCCGCAAAGGATTGAACTTCGATCTTCCGGTTTACGGCCGGATGCTCTTCCATTGAGCTACAGAAGCTTGCTTCATTCTAGAAACACTCTGCTCACTTTGACGCGATTGTCACGAGCAGCCACCCACGTCCACACACGCATACGGACATGCAGAAGTGTCCCTGCACTCACCCACCCACCCACCC